TTGGATTTAATATCATTCTTTTCTTAATCCACATTGATTGATCATACCGCCAACAAAATTAGAGCATATGCACATGTTTTGCTATACTTCACTCTTCAAGTTCAACAATCAAACACAACTAGACAACTAGTTGTGTTTGATTGTTGAACTTAAAGAATGGAGTATAGCAACTAGGAATTTCAATGGGCAGTCCTTTTCCAAAAGACATCTGTGAACTGGTAATTAGAGCATTGGAATCTAAAATCCTACATAAGATCTTGCATAACATTATCATCTACAAATGTTATGTTGATGATATCTTGATAATATGGTAAGCTAAGCCTAATATCAAGAAGGTGTTCAATATTTTTAATAACAACCAATATAATATAACCCAGGCTTTCCCAACAATGTAGGTATTGACCCTTAGCAGTCAATTGAAGTTTGAGGGGGGTTAATAGAAAGTTTGAGAGAAGTTTTTTTTTATATTTTCAAAGTTATAATGGGAAAAATAAGTTAAAGTTCTTAGTCAGAAAAAAGCCACTTAAGCCACTTAATTTAACAAATACACTAGAGTCGCGAAAACTTGGCCTAATGTGGACCAAAGGGTGGCCGAGTTTGTGAAAATGCCGGGTTATCGGGAATGGGGTTAAAAAAATAAGTATGAGTGTTTCCTCAGAAAATACTGTACTGTACTTGTATGTATTGTTTACTTGAGAATACAACAGAGAATAAACTGCCCAAATACCCTTAAACAAAGGAAAAGTACGTCCTTTATGAAGGCATAAAGCCTTTACTACATGAAAATGAAAATTAATGAATACACTGTGTACAGTAATTTAACTGATAAGACAGACCTCAGAAAAATACTTTATGAGGCATAAAGCTGTCTATAATGAAAATGAATTAACTAAGGAATTTTTTGCCCTGCCAGGGTGTGGCTGAGTTATCCAGACTGCTGGGTTATCGAGTGACGAGTTTTCGAGACTCTACTGTATTACTAAAAAAATTCTGAAGGCTATTCTTCAAAATAACTGTTGTTGCATTGATCTAGATAACTATTGATGTCTTTAAATATAGAAATACTAGAAATTGATTGACAAGATGGAACTTTGGATTTAGATCATTAATTTTCAATGTACAATTGTAATATGTTTAATTAATTTTCTCTTTTTTATGATTAATTTATTTTTAATCTTTTTTTATGAATCAAATAAAAATGAAAATCTTAACAGTCATAAATAATGTCAATATGAATATGTTTATGGCTTGATTTGAAAACTTAATTCTTATTTATTTTTATTTGATGTTTAATGAGATATTTTTCTTTATAAAAGTATGAATCGGATTCATTAATAAGATGAACAGTTTTTAGAGAGGAATCTAATATTTGCATCAAAAATACACAAAAATTTTAATTACAGAATAACTTACATATTAAAATCCTGAAGTTATAGAAATATTTTACTTTAGTTGTAATTATACTTAAGAGTAGAGTTTTGTAAAATTAAAGTGACAAGTATCAAATTCTTGAAAAACTTAAAAATATTTTAAAAATTTCTGTTAAATAAATAAATTTGACTTTGATGACATTTCTCACTTATGGAAACATGATTAACCTGAATAAAAAATAACTTTTATAAACCATTCAAAGACAAAATAAAAGTTTATGAATAATGAAGGAAGAAAGTTTAAGTATTGCACTGACTGTTGATACTGACTATTACACTTATGGGATACTTGATTTACACGGCTGCTGGTTTCTATGAAATCACACTAAAATTAAGTACTTTAAATTTTTAACTAAAATAATGACAGGTTTTGTTTTAATTGAATGCTTGAATATGCTAATGTATATATAAACTGTTTCTAAATTACTCAGTTTTTCAACTAAAATTATAGAATTTGTATTATAAATATGATTGTTTAACAAGTTTACAATATATCTGCTTTAATCTTTTTACTTTTAAAAAGTGATATCTAGTTAAAGTAAACAATTTCACACCACAGTTTGTTTTTGATTAAAGTAGATAATCTGTAAGTATTATGATGTAAGCAATGAATAATTCAAAGTTTATTCTGATAAAATAAATATTACTATTTTGATAAAATCAAGCATTGACATTTAAAGCTTGCAACTGTTTGTTATTGTTATAGATCAATTAGGAAATAATGAAAAAAATTCAATTTTTATGGAAATTTACCATTTTATATTTATGTATTTAAATTTTTATTATTTGATTATAAATATTACCAAATTGTTTTGATGTCTTTAAGTATATTTTATTTATGATCTGGTTAATAAACTTAATAGTCTAAATAATTTTTTATAAGAAGTAATGTGTTGCCATTTTTTGCAATGTCTCTGAATAGTCAAATTTTTAGCCCTGGTAGAAAAGAGCATATACTTTTGATACTAAATGAGAAAATAAATACTGCAAGTCCTTATTTAATGCTGTTTTGCTATAATGTCATTGATGAGAGATACCAGAACATTTGTAATTATTTACAATTATTGTTGTTGAATTTTCTTTATAAACTATAAAATTAATTCAAGGACATGGGAAATAAATAAATACTGGAGGTTGCAAACATGATCCAATTAGAAGATATTAACTGAATTATATCTTTTATATTAATTCAACAATAATAATAATAACAACAACAACAACAGTTGTGAGTGATTGATATGGTTATATCTAAACTAATTAATTAATTAGTATGGAAGCTAAGATTGATGGTCTTGGATGTTGTAACTGGCAACATACCTGTACAGTGAGCAGAAGTTGTAGGTTTAAGTTCTACCCTGGGCCAATTTTTTCTTCCAGAATGTTCTGAAATTAAATTAACTTGTTAAATTTATTAATTACAAATAAATAAATAAACAGCCTAACCATATACTTCCTGCCAAATTACTTATTAATTATTTAGTCTTAATTTAGTTCTGATAAAGGAATCTGATTGTCATTTGATATTTGAAGTAATTATTGGATTGGTTGTATTTATTATAGAATTATATTTTGTTTGTCATTTAGACTATTGTAAAATTGCTTTCATTATATGTCATTTCACTTAATGTTGCAGTTCTCAAGAACCAATTAATGATATTAAGTGAGGACCTGCTTACTTAAAAAGTTTTTCAATAAAACATTAAATGTAGTATATTTAAATGTTATGCTAATATTGATAATTAAAATGTCAAAATAAACTAAGATTATATTCTGTAGTCTGTGCAAGCTTGCAAAAAATTTTAATAAGATAATTTAAAAGTATAACAATTAATAATTAATTTACATAAATATTTAATATGATTTAGTTATGCAGAGAATAGAAGTTTATTCATATAGTCAGCCCTGGAACTGCATTACAGCACTTAATAAATTAATTTTTCTCTAAGAACTAATATTGGTTCTTACAAGGAAATTAATAAATATTTTGATAAATTCAACTTTGACATGTATATGTTACAGTCAAAACCCGTTTTTAGTTAGAACGCGTTTTAACTAGTTGAAACTAGTTTATACTGAATGTCTTTGTTAAAACCCGTTTTGTCTAGTTAAAACTAGTTTTAACTCAAATTCATTTTTGACTAGCAGTAAGTCTAAGTTAANTTTCTTAAATAAGTATTGCCAATAACACACACACAGAAATTACTTAAAAAACTTTTTTTATTTTTATAAATTTAAATTATTTATTAGAGTGTGTTTTTATTTCTATTGATTTATTTAGTATATGCTTTAATGTTGCATTTTAATTACATTAGCCAGAACCCATTAAATATTTTGTTTGATCAGAATATGAATTGCCAATTAATTCAATGTCACAATCATTAGAATTTTGAATAGCATTTATAGTGAATGAAATATCTAAATATTTTTATAGAATTTTTTTTTTCTCTTCTTTCTTAACTTTACAAAATTCAGTTGTGAAAGGAATAAAAATTTTTGAAATTAGTTTTGAAATTTGAAAAATAAATTTATTTAAAGTTTAGATTTTACATTTTAAGCCAGTTTATAATTTTTACATATTACTTTTCAAATATTTCACTGAATACAAAATTCTTAATAGAAAACTTATTTCCATCCATTTTTGTGTATATTCTAATATTTTTAAAAGATTTTACTTTGGACTGAGTTACTTCACAAGGTATGTTCAAATATCTTTGCGTCTGTACAAAAGTAGCCTGTTGATCAATTTCTTTTTATTATATAAGTGTGATTTAATTTCACAAAAAGTGTTACTAGAAGAAAATTTTTAAAATATTTAAGGTGAAGCAATATGCAAAAAATAATAAAAGGAATTTTATATTGACTAGATATAGGAAATGTATAAAAATAATTTGAAACATACTGTGGTTGGAACATACTATGAAATAGCAAGCATAAACTAAAATTAAATTTATGAATGCAAAATTATTTTATTATTTAGATGACAGTATGTGAATATAAAATGCAGTTAATCTAGATTATATCTAATAAAATGTGGTTTTAGCTGTCAGTTTAATCAATAATAATATTTTTAAAATATTTCTGAGCTTATTTTTATGTATGAATAAAATTATATTCTTTTCAAACTAAAAAAAAAGAATTAAGTTAAATTTACATTGAAGAGTCATTTCACAAAGCAAGTATCATAATATTAAAAAATTAATTAATTAATATTCCAATACACGTTTTGTTTATTTTTATGAGAAAAAAAATATAAATAAATTATTATGTTTATCTCTCCCTATGACATAATTCTCATTCAGCTCCTGCCTTGGAAAAATAACATTCTAATTATATTTCAGATAAATTGGAGATATAAAGATAAAAATATCTGCAGTGTTTCCTTTGTCAGCAAAATTACTTTTGCTGGCAAAAATACACATTTATACTTATTAAATTCTATACAGTGAGTAAATATAGCTGTCTTAAGAATACTTAATGAATAATTTTTCAATTTCTTGAATTTATAAATTATATTATAAAACAAATTATCTGTCATAATATGATTGATAAATAATTACATTTCATTATTTGTTCAATAACCTACAGTAGAAATAAGACAGATTGTGTCATTTGCAAATATTTCTTGTTTCATCATTGGATTAAAAAAGGGGAATATTATCATATCAAAGTAAACTTTGAACTATTTCATATCATTTTGTCACTATTTTCTACTGACGGTGTGGAAATTTTTAGATTAATTTTGAAAAGCTTCTTAGGAAACTGAAGTTATCAGATATATATATATATGTAGATTGTAAAAGTGTAGTCGGGTTCTTTGGACAGTTTTATTTCACTTTTCTTCAATAAAATTAAACATGAAATTATTCATGAAATTATTTTTTATTTTATTATATTGTTTAAGTTTTTATTTTCAAGGTAAGGTAAGCAATGCACAGGGAAAGGACTGCATAGCAGAATAAATTTTGATTGTATAAAGGAATTTTTCCAAAGAATTGAAAAGTAGAGTAAATTTTTTTTTTTGTAAATTTAAAAACAGAGAATACTTTCAAACAAAAAAATGCATTTTGAATTTATATGACAGTGGATCACAAGATAATATGCAATAATTATTTAGCTATACACCAACTAATGCCGAATATTATCGGGCTAGAAATGGCTAGTCGTTTCTAGCCTGATAATATTCAGCATTGGTTGGTGTATAGCTTTATAATATATTGGGTTTAGTGATGATGTTTGTATATCAATAAATATTTGTTGAGAAAAGCGAAAATTATAACTTATGACCAAATTAAGAAATGTATATAATTATAGAATAAGATAATTTTTCATTTTATTTTGCTTAACATTTCAAAATTTTATCAATTAATATTTCTGATAATATAAACAAAACTGAATTTTGAATTTAATTTTTATTTCTAATAATGACCAATTGGAAAAACAAATCACTTTCAGAACCCGGCAGTTCATCTAAATCATGGAATCGATTTTATGGTCATTTTGTTATACGTTATGTTCGTGGATTACAATGGATTCCTATTCCAATTGGTATGGGATTTGCCTATTTGGCATACCAACAGTTTTGTCATGTTAATAAGAGAGAGCGAGATAGATTGATCAGTGGTCCAAAAGTGTCCTTAGCATCTAATTTAGAGGTAAGATATTTAAAACTAAAAAATACTTTTTAAAAATTTATATAATGCATAAAATATTTTTAAATTTTAGATCTCCTTATATAAAATGCTACCTCTTCGAATTTTTTCTCGTTTTTGGGGTTGGATAAATGCCTTAGAGTTACCTATGTTTTTGCGTAGTCCTCTTTTAAAATTGTTTATTTCCACTTTTGAATGTAATATAAGTGAAGCTGAAGAAGAAGATCTAAAAAGTTACCACAATTTAGGAGAATTCTTTCGACGTGCTCTTAAACCCAATGTCCGTTCCGTCCATCCAATATGTGATCTGGTAAGGTTTTTGTTTAGTTAAAAGAATTATTATTGAAAAAATAAAAAGGTTATTGTAAATCATTAGAAGTAAACCATTTATAACTTCATATAGAAGTCTGTATATACTATGATCCATGGGATCTCTATGTAAAGATGTATCTCATGTATTCTGTAATTAATCTATGCATGGTAATATAGCCTATATACCAGGTGTGGCCATCCCTGATATAGCCTATAACTAAAAAAAAACCCCAATATTAGAGAGAAGCAACTCTCTAATTTTGTTTTTTTTTTTTTGTAGTATATAAGTTGATATTTTGTTAAGTTAAAATTGTTTTATTTTAGAAAAATTATTAAAGATTTCAACGGATAAAAAGATAATTGCCATATTCCTCTGGTAGTCAAGGCCATTTTAAGCCTTTTTTTAATCCCATTTCATAATTTGTTTAGAGGCATTGTACAAATGTACACTGGTCAGAACAGTTAGGAGATTAAGAGATGTTGCATAGAAAATTATTTACACATTTGAGCTGATTTTGTATACACATTTGGCTTGCATATTTTTGCCAAGTCATATGATTTCCTAATTGTTTTGACCACTGTACATAGAGAACTAAAATATTAGTAATGAGAGGAGAGCAGTAAGATGAGGCTCCTAAGAAGAGAAGGCCTGGCCATTACTAGATATGCCCACATGTTAATATGGTCTTATTGATAGTTAATGATAGTCAATAAATTAAATTCATTTACAGTATTAATCTTGAATTGAACATCTAGAAGAATTAAATAGGACAAAATTGTGTTGTAAGAAACAATTAATGATAAATAAAAAATGGGATTGTTTAATTAGCAAATAAAATAAAATGAAAATGTGTTTTTATTTTGATACTTTATTTAGAATAAATTTTTGACAAATTATAATTTATTCTAATTAATTATTCTAATAATAATCAAATATTCAATTCATTTTAATTAAAAATTTAAGACATTCTTATTAAGATATGATTAAAATTGAAAATTTTATAAAATTAGAAAATGTTTTATTTTAATAAATGACTTAAAAACACTAATATTTCCAACTATTTAACAATCTAGTTAAGCTGCAATCTTAAACTCATTTGTAATTACTTCCTGACTTTGCCTATTTCTAGAATTTTAAATACTGTAGTTTAGACAGCCTACATCAGGAGTCGCCAAACTTTTTTAACCGTTGACCCCCAATCACTTTCCAAAGCCTCACATTGACCCCCACCATAAAGTTTTATTACAAGTGTATATGTATGAGCGAAAAAAAAAAAACATTGTGGGTTGTGGTCTCTGTCTAAGCAAAAAAAAAAACAAAGGTTGTGACCTCTAAGCCGCATCGACCCCTGGGGGTCCATATCGACCACTTTGGCAACCCCTAGCCTACATTGTTTAAGCTCTAATAGTGATATCTTTTCTGTCACATCATTGCTGTTGTTACTACTCACATGAAGGATTGCTATACAGTATATGTTATATATTTTTACAATAATGATAAAATTACAATTACACGGAATTAAATCTTCCTCCTCTGCCACTTTAACCAAACTAGCTGACTCATTGACTCAGGACAATGTTGAAAGTTATTTAGTACAAATCTTTTCTTTACAATTCTAGCCAATTAGATTTCTTACTAAAATATCAATAACTCTGCCTTCTATACTTTTTCAGCAATGTTTTAATAATAATAAAAAAAAAACGTTTTTAACTATGTTCAGAGGTCTGCCTCATATTAGAAAACATATACATTACAAAATTAAATAAAAGAACTGAGTTCTAATGACAGAGCTATAACAGCTATTTTAAATTTACAACATTCGAAAACAAACTATTTAAATATTTTAAAATTTGATACATTAAAATGAAAACATAAAATAAAATAAATTACATATGTTATTAACCAACATTAAGTCTAGCCCAGTCATTCTCCTTCCTTGTTGGGTTATCAACTAGAGATTGCCAAGCTTTGGATAATGTTTCCTTCTCCATGAAATTAATACATTCACCATTTTTAGAGACTTGGAAGATTTCAAATGTTTCCATTGATCTTTATTTGTTGATGTCCTGTACCTTTTTTTAACAATTTATCCTGGTCTCAACATTCCAACACCCTTGGCTTACTTGGCATTCTGCATTACTGAACACTGCCCAAATTGAGGAATGTGGAGTTGGTGGCAGGAAGTACATTCTATTATAAAACATGCCAAATTTGACTATTTTCTGTGTAGAAAACAGGTGTGTAGCTACTCAAGTTATATGAGAAAAAGCTGAAGAAATATTGCAAAATTTATATGAATTATAATTTTAATTTATAAATGAACCTTAACCTTAAACGTGCTCAGCAAGTAAACATATATATTAGAACACCTTAATTTTGCTGAGAATTATATATTTTAAACACAAACGCTTTCAACCTGATTAACAGGCCATCTTCAGGTCCAAAAAACGAAAATGGAACAGATACGTTCCATGTATAGAATATACATATTTAAATCAAAATTTAGAACAAAAATTTTAAAAAATATACAAGAGAAACGGAATAAAATATAAAAATAACACAAAATAAAATTAAAATATACAAGAGAATATATAAAAATAACACCAAATAAACTAAAAAATAAAAAATATATAATAAATATAATAAATCTTCCAATAAACTAATTCTAGCTTGAGTTTTCAGTGAACTTTTTAATCATGTATTTCCACGCCGACGACAGGCTCTCAGCATCTCTCGCATTTAAACATCCCTCACGTAGCCTACTCCTATATATTTCAATCTTCTCCGCCGTCATTGATAAAGTGGGGGAAGACACTGGTTTTATAATCGTTGCCTCGTCCCATTTCACCACCGAACCTTGGACTTGCGACATTTGTGACAAAACCGTGGCATTGGATCCTTTTTTTACGTTATACCGATGTTCTTTTAGTCTTACTCCTAAGCTCCTGTTGGTGACGCCGATGTAGTCTTTCTTAACATCTAGTTGGATGTTTTCATAAGGAACTTTATAGACACCTGGTTTTTCTTCTGTCTTTATTCTATCCTTATCATTTCTCAATATCTTATATAAATTTGGGGCTCTTTTTAAAACTATTCTTGCTTGTTTCTTATTAGCAACTTCTTTCATAATACTGTTCAAATTACTGTTATACGTAAACTTCAAGCGTCTATTGGGAGCTGTATTTAAGCCTTGTTTCTCATTGTTCTTTTCATATTTTTTGAGTAATCCTACAATGGTGCTTTTCTTGTAGCCTAGGGTCTGAGCTACTTGCAATATTCTGTCAATTTCTTTATTCCTGTCACCGATTCTATCACAATACAAATAGGCTCTTCTTATCAAAGTTTGAAATGCAGCCATTTTATATCTATATGGATCCATGGACTGTGCTGGTATATATAGCGGGGTGTGAGTAGGTTTAATATATACGCTGGTGGACAAATGATCTCCCATGAACTTGATATTAATGTCCAAGAAGTGCACACTCAAGGAACTTTTTTGCTCTAACTTTAATCTAAGACCATCTTTGTTATTATTGATTTTATTCAAAAATTCATGTATCTTGCTATTATTTCTCCATAATATCAAAATGTCATCCACATATCTGACGAAATGTATGACATCTTCCTTAAAATTTCGTAGAACTTCCCTTTCTAATCTTCTAACTACTAACTCGCAAAGAATTCCAGAGAGGGGACTTCCCATCGGAACCCCTCTTTTCTGCCTGTAAATTCGACCACAAAAGGTAAAACAAGATTGATAACATACCAGGCTAGCGAGTTCCTCTAGGTCTTGGGTGTAACTAAGCAACTGAGGGTTGTTGTTGTACATGAAATCCAATAATGCCTCCACACATGATTCAATCCTTACTGAAGGATACATACTTTCATAATCCAAAACGGTCGCCACTTCGTCTTCCATTAAAGAAATATTTTGCATTTCCTTCACTACGACAAGAGGATCTTTTGCCACCAGTCTATCGTCTTCTATCTGTGAGGATAAATATTCATGTAGCCTTTTTTCTAAGATAAAGGTGGGCCCCCTACACTTCTCTACCACTGGTCTTAATTCATTTCCAGTTTTGTGCGTCTTAGCAAACGCAAACAATCTTGGAGCTCCTGAACTTGGATTGTGACATTTCTTCAGAAAAGGCAAAACGGCAGCGAGACTTGAGCGTTCTAACTTCTTGACCCTTCTGTCCAGAGATCCAATTATTTTGTCGTCAACTATTTCACATTCAGTCTTCCTGATGTAAGCATGTAATTCCTTGTCAAACGTATGTCTCTTCATGACAACTAAATGTTTAGTTTTGTCTGCTTTGGTCATCACCAGATCATTCGTTCTTAACCACTCCTTCGTAAGCCATATGTCTCTATTGCTAATACCAGTTGCTTTTTTCTTTGGGCGGTTACTGATGACAGTCTTCCATCTAAAGAATTCCTTATCTAAAGGATCCATGCCAACTATCCCTCTCTCAATCTCCTGTATGGAGGTTTCCCAACTATTCACCACATCTGGGACAAAGTTAGGGCCTTTCTCAAGCACTTCTTTGATTTTCTTTGGTATTTCTATCTGGTCCCATACTTGGAAGGTATTAGGGCTCTCTTTATTCAATCTTTTCACTTGTTTACTAATAATCCATTTCAATTTTTTCACATAATGTTTAGTGGAATTCTTCCTGACTGCTTCTGCCAAATCCACAACCCTATTATTGATATGAGTTAGTTTATTCGGATCATCTTTGTACACGGTATCCTCTAGACGAATAAGTTCATTTAAGACCCCATACTTCCTGTTCTTTGTTATTCTAATAGATTTCTTGAGGCATGCTAAACGGAACTTAACTATAAGCGAACGGCATTCCGTAGGGATGCTAATTCGATAGATCGACATGGGATAGACTTTGTTCTTTAAACATTCTCTTAAAAAGTCTAACTTACAACTCGCTTTAATCATCTTTAACACCAACTTCCTGTATATCTTGTACGTTTTTACCGGTGCCGCCATAACTATAACCTTAAACGTGCTCAGCAAGTAAACATATATATTAGAACACCTTAATTTTGCTGAGAATTATATATTTTAAACACAAACGCTTTCAACCTGATTAACAGGCCATCTTCAGGTCCAAAAAACGAAAATGGAACAGATACGTTCCATGTATAGAATATACATATTTAAATCAAAATTTAGAACAAAAAAATTTTTTTTTTTTATGCGAGATTTTAAATGCGAGAGATGCTGAGAGCCTGTCGTCGGCGTGGAAATACATGATTAAAAAGTTCACTGAAAACTCAAGCTAGAATTAGTTTATTGGAAGATTTATTATATTTATTATATATTTTTTATTTTTTAGTTTATTTGGTGTTATTTTTATATATTCTCTTGTATATTTTAATTTTATTTTGTGTTATTTTTATATTTTATTCCGTTTCTCTTGTATATTTTTTAAAATTTTTGTTCTAAATTTTGATTTAAATATGTATATTCTATACATGGAACGTATCTGTTCCATTTTCGTTTTTTGGACCTGAAGATGGCCTGTTAATCAGGTTGATAGCGTTTGTGTTTAAAATATATAATTCTCAGCAAAATTAAGGTGTTCTAATATATATATATATTATAAATGAACTTCAAAAATAATAAATTCTAAAAATATACACATACACATTCAAATAGTTTTTATCTTACCAAATAGAGAAGTAAATTAAAAATTATGAGAGCCATATATTATTTGTAAAGAATTGCAAAATCACATGAAAAAGCATGAGAACTGTTTCATCATTATATTCAGAAAAATATAAACACCAACCGAAACCCAATGTATAGCAAATAGACATCCACAACTGCCGTAAATAATCCTGCTATAATTTGGAAATAATGATTTTGAATTACAAATGAATTTGACATTAGAGGGAAGCGTTAGTCACCATCTTGTATTAAAATTAATAACTATAATATTGATTTTAATTAATACAAGATTAATACCAGTTACACTACCTGGAGATCTGGGTAGCGTAACTGGTAATGCATTTGCACTGTAAGCAAAAGTTGCAGGTTTGAGTCCTGCTTTGGGCCAATTATTTTTGTCCGGTTTAATCTAAATTATTTAATTAAATATTATAATTATTAATATTAATACGAGATGGTGCTTAACGCTTCTCTCTAGTGTCAAATTCATTTGTAATTCAAAATCATTATTTCCAAATTATAGCCCAATTATTTATGGCAGTTATGGATGTCTATATTCAGAAAAAGCTTAGCATCATTCTATGTGAAAAATTTCTTTTATCTATCCTAATTAATTACAATAAATTTGGAATTTGTCATTTGATTACTGATGTTTGATCTGCAGAATGTCTTTCTATGTTTTATGTAGTAATTCTAAAATGAAAATTATTAATTATTGAATTCAGAGACAAATGTGTATATAGAGAGTAGTTGAAAGTCTCTTGTACCCTTTTCACTCCAAAAGTACTGAAGATATATTAATTTTGTTAATGTAATTACATAGGAAGTCATGCATAGAGAATCAAATAGAACCTTTTTATTAACCTTGAAAATGATTTTGAAGGTCACTTATAACCTTAATGAGATGTAACAAAAGTTTCAATAACAAAAAGCACTACAATGATACCTCAGTTTTTGCCAATAATCCGTCCATAAACAATCGACAAAATCCGAAACTGACAAAAACTGAGGCAATTATTACCATATGATTCAACATAATTCCAATTAATTCATTCCAGACACTCCAAAACCAAAAAACACATTTTATAGAGAAAAAATAGAGTGTTTAATACTAAAAACAGTAAGAAATTAATATAAAAGTCTAGTGTAAAGAATAAATGAACATTCAACATGGCATTCGAATGGCTGCTGGCTCTGGAAACTTTCTTTGGTCCAATGATGGAGCTAAAAGGAAAGGAAAGCAATGGAATTGGCTAGATGCATGGGGTAATGCTCACAATGCCACACTGAGCAGGTAAATGTGTGGGTCGTCCTTTGTTTTTGCAAAATTAGCAGCGTGGTCATGCGGACACAACAACAAAATCTGAGGCAACTGACGAAAACCAAGACAAATTTTTCATAGAAAAAATCAATGAAAACTGAAACCGACAATCAGTTTTTTGGATTCTTAATCAACATTGTGTAAACAGGTTGCATCTGATTTTTCATATATGATATCTTATGTAACTACATTAACAAAATTAATATCTTTAATACTTATGGAATGAAAAGGGTTCAAGGGATTTTTGACTTACCTTGTTTATATTACACTTTATGCCCTTTACTTCTAATGTAATTGAATTTAATTAGCATAATTATGAGACAGAATACAATTAATTACTATAATTGTATTTTGTCTCGTAATTGTACTGTAAACTGACTTTCAAACATGGATAACCTGCAGGTTATCCATGTTTGAAAGTCAATTTGAAACCATTTGTGGATATGTGCATGAAATTAGGTAATTAAATTGAAACAGCCTGATTAAACAATATTTATGCAATAATTATTGTTATATTGCCAGATGAGATTTTAATATTAAATTATAAAAATTATACTTTATTAAATCATTCATTGTTTAAAAGTTTCCAGTTTAATGCTTGTTAAATCAAGTTTTATAAATATTTATTTTTCAAGTTTGTTTTATATAAATTCATTGTTTTGTTTACAAAAATTTTTAAGAAATTCTATTTTATTAATTTCTTTGAAAAATAAATAAATACAATGGATTCTGCTTTACTGGGACACATTGGGACTAATCCATATAAATAAGTAGGTAAAAAATAATAATTAGGTACCTATTTTAATGCTTTATTAAACCAAAATACAGAAAATATTTGTACTATAAATTTGCCAGACTTACGACAATAAATAACTGATTCGCATAATGCTAGTGTTGCCAAATATTAGTAGTGGCATAAACAAGGGTTGACCATTCGATCCGTTCCTGATCGAACAATTTTTCCTTTCTTTCTTTTTAGTTAGAACATGTTCTAACTAAAAAGGAAGAAAGAAAAGGGTTCATCCAAAAGTCATTTTACAGTCTTCTTTCGAGTACAATTTCCTTTACTTGGAGATGGGCCACTTCAGCGGGAGTGTCCATAGAATTCACCAGTTTGATGTTGGTCTTAACAATTGGATGGCTGCTGTCTGAATCTAGACCTAATTATGCATGCAATACCTTCCAAGGGAACTCTAGCTGTCTTCCAACTCAATCAAGAGAACTCGACCTTTGTTCCTTTGCTTTTAAGGGGATCATCTGGTCCAATCCAGAGCAGGGTCAGTAATTTGCATTCAGGTCTGTCTCAGACGAAATCCCCATGTGATACATCCTACCATGCTTGACCCCCTCTGGAAAAACCGAATTGCCCGAGCAAGACAAAATTACTTTGTCTCTGCCAATCATTAGGCCTACATAACATTAGTGTATGTAGTGCCTACATATTTTCAGAAGATTACTAAAATATATAAAAAATTGCTAAATTCCTTCTCTGCTACTGTCTTAATTAAGCAATTAAATTATGTATTAATTTAATTGCTTAATTTGGCCCAATAAAGCAGCTGCCCTAATTAACCAGTGTCTCAATTAAGCGGAATCCACTGTAACTCATTTATCATTTACTTTGAAGAAATATTTACACCAATTTTTCTAATACAATGGAATCCAGTTATTATAATCACTATGTTATTACTTTGCTAATGTTATTATAATCAGTCTGTCTCAAAACACATTATAAAATTAGTTAAAAAATAATCTGCCTATTATAATCTAACTTTTGCTCTTGTTATCAATTGTAATAACAACACTTGAGGACAAATGATAAGAATTCTTAGAAAATTCATATTAAATGGGCCTTTTCTTCAAAACTTACTTTTAACCAAAGCATACCTTTTATCTTTTAAATACATGACAAGAATTTGTAGAAAATACATATACAGTAGATTTTTACTTGAAGCTCACCTTTGGGATGAAGATTTGTGTTGCAGTTTCTCTACTTTAATATTGTTTTCTGTTGAGTGAAAACAATTACAATCAGTTATTATTATCAATAGTTTTGTCCCAAAGTGATCATAAGCAGATTCCACTGTATAAATAAATGTAATGATTGCACAGTAAAGAGATTGCTTAACTATGACATATTTTTACATAATTTACTATCACGATAATATCAATCTTCTGACTCTATCCTGCAAGTTAAACGAGTAACAGGAGTCAAGGACATTTAAATTGCCTACATTGATCAAAAACAGGAAACTTAACCAATTGTATTAACCAAGGACTACCATCTATAATTTTGTAATGATCTTTTTTAAATCATTTTCACTCTGGAAGTTAAAATTTATTGAAAGCTGTATGAAAGTTTTCAGATTACACTATCTAAAGGAGTCAAAAAATACCATGACTGCAAGTATAGATTTACTTGTAAAGCAAAAGATCCAACTCTATACTTTATCTTTAAATATAATAATAATACTTTTTTTTTATTTTACACTTAAAAATTTAGTTAGATTTAAATAATTACATTTCTTCAAAAATACTTTACATTTTTGTTATATTTATAAATTAATTTAATACATTATAAAGCCTGGAATTAATAAATTATATCTTTAGAATTTTTTAAAATGTTTTTGTAATTAGCAAAGATAATTAAGTATTAAACTGTAGTATGTTGTATTCATATCAAAGGCAATTTTGATAATGCTGAATTATGAAACGTGAATTTAAGTTTATATAATCAAATATTATTTTTAATTTTCTAGGTTAGTCCAGTAGATGGAACAGTTCTTCATTTTGGTAAAATAAAAGATGGCTATTTAGAGCAAGTGAAAGGTGTTACATATTCTCTTGAACAGTTTCTTGGCCCCAATAGTTGGTCTTCAAAAAATTCACCAGGGGTAAATATATATACCTTTTGATTTATGTTTTGACATATAATAATAATAATATATTAAATATATGTATTATGTTTCATACATTAATCTTAAACTAGATTATTGTAAAATACATGGTCTTTTCCAGCAACAGTTTTTTATTTATCTAACATTTTCAGCTATCTGTGCAGCCATCATCAGGATCAAACACTTTTAAATAGAACTCTTTATAACTGGAATTATTTATTAATAATTCTCACTGCTTCTTTATAGCCACCTCAGTATGTAAATGTGGTCATTAGTACTTTAATTAATACACAGGACATACTTACTTCCCTCCTCTCAATTTCTTGTAAGTAAGGAGATGAGTTTAATAAGGTTTGCAAGTTAGAAAAGCTGCTATAGTATAGGAAAATATTTGTACAATGTCATCAGGGTTAGTGTCTTTAAAAACCATTTTTTGGTGACCACCTTGATTAATAAAGCTAAAAATGTGTACATGTGTTTCCATCCTGTACATAGGGCATGTTGCTTTATACCTCACTAACCAATTTAAAATGACATGGATACTAGCTACTCATCAAATCACAGCCTTTCTTTTGGAGGTTTGTGTGCAATGATAGGGACCCATACACAGACATCAGAGATTTAACACATTCTGTTAAGACAAGGTTCCAATGCTACCGAAATTTCATACATTCAGGCAACTTCTAAGATGCTTTCAACTAGGATAATGGAGCATCAGGATATCAAACATGGCTGATAAACCATGGAACTGTCTAAGAGAGTTCTGGAGCATTGTAGTGAACCTTTGTGATCAGATACCATTTTGATCCATTCCATATGAAACTTAGCATTTTGTTCATTTGGAAGAAACTATGTATTGCACCCAACAACTCCTGTAACCATTCCATTGTTGACCTGTCAGACCTTTGGAATCCAGTATTGACTCCTTATCACTCTTGAATATCTTTTATCAGCCATAGTTTTGTATTTATGCACTGGATTACACCATGTCTTAATTTGGTAAATTTAGCTAGTTATAATTCAAGTGATATAAGAATTTAATCTCATATTGTTAATTTTTATTAGTATTAATTGTGGTACATTACATTTTAAAATCTAGTTTTAAAAAATCAAATTTATCATTCTAAATGTGGTAATTTCTTTCAGATTCAAATTTTGTAGCTGTAATTTAGCTGTTTGAAATTTTTTATGCTGTTCTAGAATTGTTTCAAAAAATAAATAAATTTGTAATAGTACATGTTTTGCAATTGATTGATTTAGCTTGAAGATGGCATTAATAAAATGTTGAAAATAGTAGCAAATTTTTTCTAATAATAAAAGAAGCAAATGCCAATAGACAATAGATTAATTTGTCAATAAATTTTTGGTATAAAGTGAAGTACTTTAATAAACATGTACTTCATTGTTTAAGAATGGTCATAAATTTGATTTACTGAATTAAATCTTTTTTAACTTGTGGAAAATTAAGAAAAACAAAAATACAGTTCACATAATCTATGATATCATCCAGTTTGTTTAAAATATAAATTATACAGCAAGTTTTCACTTACTGTCATTCTGTTATAACATTATTGGGGAAAGAATGGAAAGATACAAGTACATTTGTAATCATTTACAATTATTATTGTTGAATTTTCTTTATACACAGTAAAATTAAATCTCTGAGGTTAGAAATAAATGCTAGAGATTGCAAACTGGATCTAATTAGAATAATAATAATTGAATTATATCTTGTTTATATTAATTAGCCTATTGTAAAATTAGTCTCGTTATACATTGTTTTGATTAACATCAGTTTCTAAGAACCTTTTGACAAACTTAAGTGAGGACTTGCTGTATTTTACATTTAAAATATATTAATTTATATATTAAATAGATTGAATGATATTGTGGATTATGCAAACTGTGTTTTTCTTATATAAATTGATTTAATTATAAGTTGAGAGATACATTATATTCATCTTCTGTACTTTACTTATTACATGTTAAAACTAGTTATATTTTATTCTAATTCTATAGTTTTTAAATATATACATTCATTGCCATAAAAATTAGCACACAAAGGAGGAGTTGTTGGAATCAAATGAAATTGTATATGTGTCTGTAATAGTGATATAACTAAGTGATTACAAAATGAAAGCAAAAAAATCATTGCAGGAAAAACTACAAATGAAAGAATGTTTTGGTACCCTGTTGGACCATCTTTAGCATGAATACATGATATGATATGGGTGGGCATGGAAGCATACAGATGATATATGGTGTTCTTCAGCATCTCAGTTCACAGTTGCTGCTATCAGTCTTCTAATTTGGCCAAACTCTTAGGCTGTCCAACTTGCCATCCCAGGTGGTCCCAGACATGTTCGATTGGTGACAAATCAGGAGACCAGGCTGGTCTGGGAAGTGTGGCACTGTGACAGAGGCAGTCCTGTGACATCCTTGCTGTATGTGGTCAAGCATTATCCTGTTGGAAAATGGCTGTTGGGAGTTCTGCCATGAAGGCAATGTTTGTGGCTGCAGGATATCATTAACATACCACTGGGCTGTCGTGGTCTCTTGGATCACTACTAGAGATGACTGGTTGTCGTATGTGATGGCACCCCAGACCATCACACCAGCTGTGGGGACTATGTACCACTCCAAATTGGGGTGATCACCATGAGGCCTCCAGACATGAACATGGTTGTCATCAGTGCACAAAATGAATCTGGATTCATTACTGTAAACAACAGTTCCATTCCATTGTAACCATTGTTTCCTATCAGGAGCAACACCACTCCAGAGGAGATGGTGGGTGGCTATCAATGGCAGCACATGTAATGGCCACTGTGATATCAAATGTTCCTCACCCAGGTGCCTCAAAATAATATACGCAGATACCTATAGTGATAGCACCACCTGTGTCCAGATGGTGAACAATGATATGGTCAGCTGTTTGTATGCTTTTCAGAAGACCAGGCAGTCCTCTTGGCTAGTGATCTGTTAAGGGTGTCCTGAGCCTGGGTGCTGTGTATGTGAGCACTCTCTCATTCACTGGTCCCTACACCTCCTCACAGTATTGTCAGAATGGTTTAGGTGACAGACTATTCAGCAAGATGACCACCTATCTTCTCTCAACTTGATGAACCTTCCCCTCTCAAACTTTGTTAGTTATTCAGATGGTTTTTGATTGTGACATAAAGGCATCTCTAGTGATACAGCATCCCTCTGCAACATGTAAACTACAGATAGCATGCCTTTGCATGCGTTATTTGTAGGCCAACTGAAACACATTTTAACTTCCTCTGCTAATTATGCAATGAGCCATCATGCTATAACTCTAATCATTTCTATATCTGCTTGAGATTTATCTGCATGCCAAGTTTCACAGCAATACGACAACTTCTTGGTATGCTAATTGTTATGACAATGAGTATATAGGCAAAAACTTTTTCTTTATCTCAATATCATTTAAAATGTTACTCGTATAAATTTATTTATATTATGTTTTAAAACTTTAAAAGTTATTTTTATGGAAAACAAAAATACAGTAGATCCCCCTATAAAACGGGTTTATATAGTACGGATTTGTATATAACGGTGAAAAAATTGAGATCGTATTCGTGTAAACATGCTAAAAGAAACTCATATAATATGGTAAAACATCATCACTGACTCATGTCGCGACAGGATTGGTCGAATCTAGACCAATAGTGGATATTGCACAAACTGTTGAGTTTAAATGAGCAGCAGACCTACTAAAAACCATTTTTATTTAACGTCCATAAAAATTATATTTATATTAATGATGTCTCCAAAATTCAGCGAATTTTTTGCAGAAAAATAACTTATCAGAAACACGTGCCCACTGTTTGATGCGCCACTCCACAATGAAAACAAGCTTAAGCAATGGTGTCGTCGAACGGTGCACACTCTGTAAGTAATCCTACAATTTTTTTGTTTATAGCATAGTTTATATGGATTATTCCAAAAAATTATATATGTTTTGGAAATGTTGAGTCAAATTAGTCTAGAATCGATTAATTTTATGGACGAAAACCTTTCAAACAGCTGTAATCCCTAAACTGCATATGTGCCAGGCTCTAATTGGCTCATGTATTTAAGTGATTGTAAAACACGAATTCATATAAAACGGAACGTATCTACAGTATTATGGGGGGGTCTACTGTATAATAATTTCAAGAATGTTTAAGCTTTTTTTTATATATTAATATATTAATTGAATTTAATTTTATACTATAATTGTTATTTAAATATCTATAATATAGTGATGGACAGCACGCTAATCATTTATTACAAAAAAAAAACTTTTACGATATAAGCGTTAAATTAAACACGTATGTCACTAAATTGACGAGCGCTTTCTACCGTTATATACGCTTTATATTCTACCGTTGCTGGTATTCCAAAATATTAGTTAAGATTGGAATGTTTTTAAAAATTTTGTATTCAAAAAAGGTTCTTATATCTTCTAATGACCTGAAGAAGACAAAAGTGTGTATCGTCGAAAGCGCTCGTCAATTTAGTGACATACGTGTTTAATTTAACGCTTATATCGTAAAAGTTTTTTTGTAAAAAGTTTTTTTGTTATTTAAATTTGTTAATACTTGAAATTAACAAAAGGATTTTTTATGCAGCATGAAAATTCTTCCAAATATCAACAGTCATTACTTTACAATAATAATGATTTGTATCATTGTGTTATATATCTTGCACCTGGTGATTATCATCGCTTCCATTCCCCAGTTGACTGGACAGTTCAATACAGGAGACATTTCTCTGGTATTTAATCAATTTAACTTAAGATATAATTTAATCATTTGTTTTACTAATAATTGTTAATATGAATAATGTCTACAATACTGTTCAACCCTTTACCAACACCAGAAGTTTACTACACTTGCAATCAAAAATCGAACCTATTACCGATGTGTTGTCCACCTGAAGAAGAACTTCATAAAGTTCAAAAATGTTTGTGGGACAATCTTTTATAGGATATACACTGGTAACAGGTTTGATTTATGAATAATGTCAAATTTAAAAGAATTTTTTCTAATTATTATTAATTTATAGCTAAAATTAGACAACTGATAAAACTTGAAGATATGTACAAGTGTTTTTCTAACCTCATAACTCAGAGGAATGACTCAAATGAATCACATCATAAATTACTTGATAGAAGTTGCTTGACTCCTTCAAATATATAAAAGTGATCATAAAGTCACTTTGCACTTATATTGCAAAGGATAAAATCATGTTTAAATTAGTCTATACCAGTGTTTCTCAATGGGAGTGACATGGGCGTTTTTCCATGTTGAGGGGGCGATTAGTAACAATTTATATTTTGGGGGCGAAAAACAATTTTATGGGAGATATAGTAAAACATTATATTAAGAATAATTAGATATTTTATTCGTTATATCGTACAATAATTAAAAAAATAACATTATACTAGTCACTAGTCTATTCAAGGTAGTACGAATTTGGCGTTAGCCTTGTCCCTTGGCATCGGAATTTTGAAGTGAAGGGGGCGACGATTCGTTTGAGGTTGAGAAACACTGGTCTATACTATTTATTACACATTAACAGCAAAAATATCAATCAAAATCATAATGCAGTGGAGCACTGTTTATACCTTTTTCAATGGAGAGAACAAAAAAGACATAAAATCAAAGTTTAAGTAAAGATACATCACAAGATGGAAAAACTAATAGTTTTTCATAAAAACTTACAGTATTATGACTTTTAATGAATATTTTACTGTTTATTTTTTTATTTTGTACTTTTACTAAAATGTAATGTAATCAACTCTTATTATTAATATGAATCATTAAGAACAGTAGGTTGCTTTATCAAAAATTCATATTAACAAATTTCAGGGTCAGAGTCAAGGTTGTATAATTTAGAGAGTTAAGGCATATTAGGTGATTGAAATCTGTAAATTTATAATACAGTAGAGCATCGATTATCCAACCCTCGATTAACCGTCACATCGGTTAACCGACCGTTCTAGTTGGCAAATTTCAAATGTCCACTAGTGATGTGGCGCTACAATATTTGGCTATGTCTTGGATACTTTAATATTATTTTTGTTAAATTTTTGTGTGTTTTAGCTGGCAACATTGATTCGGCCATTGAAGGGAGGCCAGTATTTAAACGAGGCTTAATTTTCTAATTATGAGTGGTTGTTTGTTTTGTGAGCAATAAAATAATTTAAAAATAATTTTTAATGATACAATAGTGACGATTATTATTTTAAAAAAATTTTTTGTTAGGCTTAACATCGATGAAAATTTAATGCAAAATAGGTTAACAATATACTAATTACATGGGATATACTAATATACTTGTGGGTGGTGGGGTAGCCCTGGGGGTGAAAGGTTACGACCCTCGCTTTGCCTGTGATCTGTCAGGATGACACGAGAAAGCCTTTTCCATATGGGGGTCGCAGTTTGCTGGACGCAAAGACTCACACAGAGACCGTATTTACTAAGTCAACGCGTTTATTTGGATTAGAAAACATGCTTACAATAGTAACACTTGGCGGTCTCGTTGGGAGTCGAAAGGCTCGCCGGACAGTTCGATGGATCCTCGGAGAATGGACGGCACAACACAACGAAGGAGAGAGTCATCTTCTTCCAGGTCGTAAGTAGAGGCTTGGAGGTTGGATGGTTAGAGGTCTTCGTTGGGAAGTTAAGTCCCAAATCTCTTCCGTACGCTTCCTGTGGTGTTCTCTTTGTCTTCTCGGTAAATCTGTATCCGCTCACTTGCACTGTTGTTTTTGATCCCCAGCTCGCAACCAACTCTCTCCCCGTGTCCTTGGGACCTCGGGCTTTTGTAATCTCTTTCCTCCCGAAATCCCGAAGTTTTGGTTGGTCCGAATGTTGGTCCCTCTGCGCTTCTATTGGTCCCGGGTCTATTGCCAGGGACGCAATTCGGGCTGAGGGGTCGCCGAGATGACCCCGTCCGGGCCGTTTCCCTCCGGAGTCGGGTCAAGCCCTCTCCCGGATGACGGTCTCGTAAATTGTCACCTAATGTCTATTTTTCGGTCCCGGAGAGGAGGAAGCTGTCTCAGCCGCCGCCCCCTCCACAGGAGTGTCGGCAGGACCTGCTTTGAACTCTCTGTAAGGTGACCGTCCAAAGTTTCCCCGACGGTCGATCCCTCGATCGTTCTCATGATTGACGACCGTGAATCTGTCAATTAGGCCTGGAATGCGACAATTAAATCGTCTCGCACCCTGTTCCTTGATCACACCGGTCCTATTTACGTAATAAGTCACCGATATATTGACTTTAGCTCGACAGCCGGTTTCCATCCCAGGGGGGTGTGTGGTCCCGGCCTCACATACTATACTAATAATGTATTTTTTTCATTCTTTTTGGTTATCCAATTTTTTCAGTTATCTGACCAACCTGAGTCCCCAATTGAGTCAGATAATCGATGATCTACTGTATTTTGAAATAATTTATTAAATAAAGTTAAATTTATTTACAAAAACAAATTAATATTCTAAGTGATTTTCAAATGAAATAAAATGAGAAGGAGACAGTATTCACCATTAAAGTATGGAGCAGTGTATTAGAGTGGTTAAACAAAACAAAGCAAAAAGAAATCCTTGAGTTTTTCTGATATAGATTGTTTGAAAAAGTAGAAAACATTTTTTTGGCACTAAAAGTGTAAAAACAACCATTATTTGAAATAGGGTTATTTCTTGAGGGTTGTGAAGGTAATTAACAGTTTGGTTTAATAAATTCTGTTAAAATTTTTGTTTGCTTTATTTCATGAAAATTAACATTGTGACATTGGCCAGGGCAACAGCAAAATTCATTTTATCAGTGTTTGTTTTAAGCTTTGAAATTGCAGAGGTCAATGATTGAATAGACGTAATTCATATGTTTGATTAAAAGTAATAAATTCTAAAGTGGTTTTGGCCTATTCAAAACTCAAATGCCACTGCTAATGAATGGTCTACAGCCCCTTAAAATATCTGTTATTATTTTTTAATTCTAAAATATCCATGATGAATCATTAAGAGTTTTATATTAGAATTGTTAAGAATTGTTTGTTGGAATAGTTCTTGAAATAACCTTAATTTATTAAAGAAACATTATTTGTTTATAGACTTTTGCTATTACAGGATATTCAGACAGAAGTATTGAAGTGGTCAATGTTATTTCATTTAATTTCAAGAATATGGAGAGGATAAAACAAAGAATATGTTCTACAAATTTAGAATTTATTTTCTAAAAGTGATATCTGTTATCTTTATCAAAAAAAGGAAATTATTTATAAATGAAGCTCCTTAATGAATTTACAGCTAGGAAGGAAATATTTCAATATTGAAAGAAATAAGAATGTTTTGGGAGTAATATAAATAAAATGACATATAAGTATAAAATTATAAACACTGCTATGCTAAATGTAATTTTATAACAATAAACAGCAACTGTACCAGAAAAACTGGAAATGTACATATAGATAAGAAATTACACCTGAATGCAAAATTTCCAGCAAAGAAATTCAATATTCTACTGATGAAATAGTGGCCAAAAATGATAGAATTCATTTATATAGTATAGAATATTGAACTTCTTTGCTGGAAATTTTGCATTCAGGTGTAATTTCGAAATTTTATAACTTTTTAAAAATTAAATTTTTTTCAGGTGAGTTGTTCAGTGTGAGACCAGGCATTGCAAATTGGATTGCAGGACTTTTTAATATAAATGAGCGTGTTGTCTACATTGGCACTTGGAAATATGGATTTTTTGCCATGATTGCAGTTGGTGCAACAAATGTGGGTTCCATTAAAGTTTATTTTGATAAGGTAATTAAGGTTTTTCTTACTTTTAATTCTGCCTTATAATCAATTTTTCTTATATGATTTAAATGTAAATGACAGATTTCCTTATATTTAAACTTGCATATATCTTGTAAGATTAAATGTATAAAAAATATTAAAAAATAGTTTAAATGTTACATGTAACATTTATTTATTATTATTTTTATTTGAAATTATCATATTATTAGTTGGAATTATTATTATTTAAATAATAATAATAATAGTTTTTCAAGAAATTGTATTGCATTTGAACAAGAATAGATAAAGAACAAATTATTTTCAAGTCATTTTTCTAAATTGTACTTAATTTCATTGTATTATACAGCAGTGTTTCACACTTTTTGGATTATTGTTTCCTTTCAGTGCATCCTCATAAAATCAGTCCAAAATGATATATTGAAAAATAAATTTAAATAAGAAATTTTTTAAATTTATGCATTTATTTTATAAATGAAAAATAATTGTCTAGAAGTATCTTGAAGTATTTTATTAATTAAGTACTGTACATTAGTGGAAAAGTTGTAGAAGTAACAAATAGTATAACTTGAATATATAGTAATAAAATTTAGCATTGGTTAAAAAAATCATATTTTATTAAATTACATAAATAAGTAGATATATTTACCTGCATACTAATGACATTTATTGTCCTTTTATTTTTAAATTAATACTTTTTTGTATTTAAAAAAAATTGTTGTTTATATTACTTTTTCACTCAGCCCTTCAATTAATATAGCCTTATATCTGAAAGCTGACTTTACAGTGTATTTGTTTGAAATTTAATATTTTTATTTCGAAATGAATTTTTGTCTCCTTGTTTTCTAATAAACCTACACACACTCCCTTGCTTTATAGTACTTACTTTGGGAATCACTGTTACACAGTATTCTGTGTATATTTTACAAAAAAATCACCATCTAGAAAAGAAAATTCCAGGATATTCAAATATTTTTTCCAAATTTTATGCAGTTTTCTCTTCTAAAAGAGAAATTTATATATAATAAAATTTTTAAATAATTAAAACTTTATTTTAACTTTATGGAGATAACTCTCTTTAGAAATCTGTAATAAAATAGAAGTACTGAAATCAACATCATCACTCTTTATTTGTAAGCTTTTCTCTCATTCTTTAAATGTTTACACACTTTAAAAAAATCCAGCAATGGAGTTGCATATGTTTCCTATCTGTTATAAGACTTTAAAAGTTATGTTTTTAATAATCATAATAAATGAAATTGTGTGTGGCATCATTTGTTATGAAGTTTTTTTTTATAATAAACTTCTGATATTATTAACTATGAAATAGCAAAAAGCTTAATTAATTTTGAGGGTAGGGATGGGTTTCTCAAAAAATTGTAAATGCTAATAACTAGTAAAATCTTCATCAGATAAAGTCCAACCCATCTTGAAATATGATACATAACCCACTTCATCTCCTCCCTTGATCTTTAATCACCAAAATTTAATAGCATCAATGCCCCTTACATACAAGTTACTGTGCCAAATTTCATTACTTAATTTTTACCCCATTCTGAGGTATTAAACAAAATAGATGAACACACTCAAACACTTTGTGTAACAGTTTTTTGGCTTTTTTGGTTTCAGAAGTGTCAAATCATCATAATTCCAGAAAAATGTAGGATCAAATGTGACACAATTACAATATTATAACAGTCAGAAATGTAACCCATGTTACATTAAACAGCTAGGAAAGTAACAAGAAAGTAAAAATTTGAGATGGTTACAATATTTTTCTATGTTATATTATAAGAGTCAGGAAAGTACAAGTCCTGAAAACAATATGTAAAAGGTGTCTATCAAACTGCTCCTTTCTAAAAATTTTCATCTTTATATATATATATACTAGCTGCAAGGACCCGCTTCGCTGGGTTTTTATTTGTGGGCAAAAAGTAACGATAGTGAAGATTAAGATAATTACATTATAGCCAATCTTCCCGTTTTCACAAAATGCAAGAATTAGGTCTCCCGTTTCCAGAAAATTTTTACATGAGCATAAAAATATGTTTGATTTCCCACAAAAGTGCAAAAAACCGCCTGTAAATCTTGCATGCCGCTTTATATTAACACTTCCTGGTCCCGATTCTATTTCTGAACGTCTCCTATTCACATCCAGTCAAACGAACTATTTTCAACGTTTCTGGAACGTTTACGATTGTTCTATAATCAAACCAATATTTGAATTTTATGTTCAAATTTAATTTGAATATTGTTCGAACAAATTTGAACATTGTTCGAACAAAACATTTGAAATAGAAAGTCACTTTCAACCACTTTCAGCCTCATATCTCCCGCACCCTTATAGCTATTGAGACGCAACCACCCCTATGCACAAATGGAGACTTGGGGCTACTACCACATACAAACACCATTCACGTGCGATGTGTAGTTTTTGCGGAAAAGTGAAATATAGGGACATACATGTCCATTTTTATATGTATATATATTTAATTCTCAGTATTTCAATTAGCAAGTTCAGTGAAATGATATATATATACTGAATAACATAATTGAAATACTGTACTGAGAATTACACTAGTCAACATGAATTTTATAGAATAGAAAATCCTTTTGACTTAGACCAAATTGAGCTTGCTGATTTTAAATCAATACTTAGATCTTTCATATCTTGTTCAAATTTTGGAGTTTCTCAATTTTTTTCTGGAAAGTGCTTTTTTTTTCTGATTTTCAAGCAGTTTTGAAAATTAGTTATTGTGGGTTAATATGTTGTACACTGTTGGAAAATAGTATTTTTGTATTTTTATATAAAAATATGTGATGGGCATATAACATATTTACTTGGCTATAAGATGATCTCGCATATAGGATGAAGTGTGACTTTAGAGATCAAAAGAAAGAAAATTAGATTTATTAATACAATTCTGATTTTATTTCATTTAATCACAAAATATTATCAAATGCACATATTAAAGCAAACAACCATGTTTGCCTTAATACATGATGAATAGAAAACAAAATATTATAGTGCGTGTGACCAGAAAAAGTTTATTTTTAATGATTCAGAATGTGCTAATATTTATTAAAAATAACAATTTAACTAATATAAAATAACTACATTTATAATCATTGCTAAGTGGCCTGTATTTCATTAATGTTTTTATAAATAACAAGAAACTATTTTCTGCGAATGAATGAGATGCAACACAGTTTTTAATTGATGGATATAGGATGAAATCAATAAACAAAGGGGTATGTGTCTTAATTTGTTTACAGTAGGTGCCAACTTACAATAAATAGACTGTAGACCTATAATGACAGCATGAAATATACACAGTTCACAGAAATTATTGCAAAAATGCAAAGAATCCTTCATTCGCACATATAGGACGACCTAAGTTTTTAAAGCAGTGAAAAATGGATAAAACTTCATCTTATATGCGAGTAAATACGATATTTAATTAATAAGTGAAGGCCAAAAGAAGCCACACTATTAAATAGGTTACTGAGTAGTAGTATCTGTTAGTTTACAAGTACAACTCCTGACATATACACTGATTGACCACTATTATTGATAGCTTGAACACACATTTGATGTAATGGTACTGTACTGTACATATTGAACATTTTCTTTCAATACCTGTGTCAAATATGGCCAATTACTGCTGATCAGTTATTTTGGATGTGATTGAAAGATCAAATTTGATAATACATATTTTTGGCCATTATTTTGAAATAATTAAAGTTACGTGTAATGTATGTCTTGTCTCTTTAATTTGACATTAAGTTCGGTAGACTATCATTACAGCTTTCAGGTTAGACACTTCTTTTATTGTTTTCACATATGCATATGTGGAATTAAAGTTACGTTCATCATATTTCTTGCATGAGAATGAGATTGTAGCTTTCCAAAAATGTATAGTTTATTTGTCTATAATAACTATAAATGTTTTAAGAAAGTGTATAAACATCAGCAAAAAATGATGTTCTTAAGAAAATAATTAGATATCTAAAAAATCCAATTGAAAATTGGTACACTTAATTTAGCCTAAATCAAAGAATATTTTTACATGCAAGAAGTGTGTAGTGTACTAAAGCAATTTTATATAAATTATAAATTTTCAAATTGTTAAAGTTAAAATTTTTAACTTTACTTTAAAAGTACTTTAAAAGTTTTCTTTACATTATAAAAAACATTTAAATTCATAATATTAAGCAATATAAATTATTATATCATTAATTATTTATACTTAGTTAATTATTTATTCATTTATTTTAAAACTTTTATTTTTTAATGTAGATTTTATCGACAAACAATAAAAAATGGAAAAAGGATTATTATTTGGATTACAGTTTCTTAGAAAATAACAATCACAAATATGTTTTTCAAAAAGGTGATCCTTTTGGCGAGTTTAATTTGGGATCAACTGTTGTCGTGATCTTTGAAGCACCTAAAGATTTCCGGTTTGATGTACAGTGTGGACAAAAAGTTAAGTACGGCATGCCCATCTGTCTTCATCCAACCTGAGCAAAAATGATGATCAAAGTAACAAAATTCTAACGAGCTCAATCGAAAATGTAAAAGGATACTGTAACTTGAGATTTGCAAATAGACAATCGTGGAATTTGTTAGGCGACATCAGAAACTCTGGAGTATAAAATACGTATCATGATATAGTTGCATTTTGACTGCTGTGATGTGCACAATATTTATTACATATTATAACATTTTATAATCAATCGCCAATCCATTTGAATATTATTTCAATTTATTCTATTTAAAACCTAAGTTTTCCAAAACTTATTACAATAATAATAATTATTATTAAACTGTAGCATATTCTTTTTGTAAAACCTAATGAAATAGCTTTCTTAATCCTGAGTACTATCAGTGTTCAGGAGTAAGAAATTAATTTAAAAGAAATTAAGAAAGCATTATTAGAGATGCATAAAGGATCTCTGTACTCTTGATGATGAACTGAAAACCTGAATAGTACTTGTTCTAAGAAAGATATTTCATTTGGTCTCCAAGAAAGAACAGTATGCAAGTTAAGGTCATTGGTGAGAGAAACTTGTTAGTAAGTCTTCCTTATTATTGATCTTTTTAAAAGTAGGTTTAAAATAACTTATTCAGCTAAAAGAAAACATCCCTGCAGTTTTTTAGATACATGCTTTATGCTAAATTAATTAAATATAAATAATTTTTAATATTTGTAAAAGTAGTAAATGAAATATAATTTTTTTATATATATATATATAGTATGTGTTTATGTATACATGAAATTGCATTTATAAAGACATTATGTACATTTACGTGTAAAAAAACTAATGTTTTATAAAGAGTATAATTGTATACATGTTACTATATATATATATTTGTATAAAAGTATGTAGTTTGTTTATAAACTCATATTGAAGTTTCTAACAATATTAATTGTATGATAGAAGAAAAATCATAATTTAATACAGGAAGTTTACAGAAGTTTGCCATAAATTATAAAATGAAATTCTGTATTTTTACTAAAATTTAAGTTGGTGCATTCATTTTGGCAAATGCTATGGATTTTTGGAGAATTGAGAATAGATTAATTGCCAAAAAATGAAATTGTGCATGTAAATATATATTTTTTTATAAATATAACTATTTAATATTTAAATTGTTTTTTAAATAACTTGTATATTCATTTATTTAATCTAAAAAACATTATTTTCAATTTAAATTATTTTATTTCCAAATATGATATATAGAAAAAGTAAGTTTTATAATTTTAATTCCTGAAATGAATAAATTTTTATTTTAATTTCATTTGAAATTTATGTATAGGCTATATGTTACTCGTATAAATTTNTAACATGTGTTTATTAATTTTTTAAACTGAGTTTTTGTATTATTATTATTATTATAAATAGAAATTTTGCATTTGGGGAACATTTAACATCTCTTGATAATATATGAAAATGTATAATAAAGTTTTTGAAATTTTCCTTTGATATACAGTATTTTAAAAATTTTTGACATCAACAAATTCATTAATCAGTATTGTCATTACCTCTTCTCTTCATTTTGTGATATGCCATGACTTACCATACTTTAAGATTTATTTGATACTATTCATTGAGAACATCTTAAACTATTCACAGTTGACTAATAAATCAAACTAGGTAACTGTTTAAGACCTGTTATGTGCAAGAGTCTAATGAACTAAATCTCTTGCACAAAATAGAATAAAACACAGTAGTTGACTCTAAAGCAAAGTGCTATATTTTATTTTTTGATATAACACCCATTGACAGTCTCCTTAGCTCAATAATGAATACTGCATATCTGAAACACCCTTCCTCTATAACACTCACTGATTTCATTATCAAGTAAATGAATACAAATAAATATCGTTAAAAAATTTATAAAATTTCTTTCCATTGCTTCTTTTTAGTTTTTTTTAAACTGATATGTTTCATTTTTCTGTATATTAAATGAACTATCATGGAGAGTAGCCAATATCCTTCTAGAGTATAGAACAAATAAAAGTAATTAGCAACAACTTTTCCAATATTTCTGGTCCTGATACCAGAAAGTGTTAAAAAATTCAACATTAAACAGTCAATAAGAGACCAATGTGAATTTAGATAGATAGTAATAGAGCCAAAGATATAATAGAAGAAAAAAAGTAAAAGCGCTAAAAATATGGACGGAGTTAAATTTTCAACTTTGAACAGTCTCCTTTTATGAAATTTGATGTTTTTAGAATCGAAATGCTTCTCCAGTTCTTTAGGAGAGGTTAAAATGGCAGAACTAGAAGGACGAGTTGCCGGTCGATCAATTATATATTGTTTTGCCAGCGTATTGGTGATAGGATGAACCTTACGTTTTCTTCTAAAAAAACACTTCCCACTTAACAACCAGAGCCATAATTCTGCTAAGTAGTAACCTACAAAAAATAACCACGTGATCGTTACCGGTAAACCCACAATTAAATAAAGTAACAGGAATAACTTTCCCCACGTTGAACGAATAGTAACATTTTCGTATCCTGCAAAATACATATGCCAAAATGTAGCAGATAATGTTATAAGGGGGAGGTAGTTTGAAACTTAATACTTGCCTGTCGTTGTCATAACGATTACGCTGAAATAAAAGGAATTGGCAAGGGACCAGACGGAATTCACATCGGATCTTCTATATCCTTCTAAGTAAGCTTTCAACAGATCTTTCTCAAAGATATGAAGATGGCGATAAACCGTTTTGGCCCATTCAGCTTCGTACGGAACGATTTTTCTTAAATCTGTGGCTAGAAGGATCGAAGTATCGTTTTTCCATCTGTTCACGTGATAATGAAACTCTTCGTGTTCTGGCGATTCCAATAAGGAGAAAATATAGGCGCCAATAAGGGCGTAACTAAAATAAATGAGAGTAAATCCTGTCAGTTTGAGTAAAACCCATTTTTTATTTTTTGTTTTCTTCTTTTTAATCTTCTGCTTCGTTTTCTTATCCTTATCCTTATCCGATTTAATTTCTTTGTTTTTATTTTCTAAGCCATCTTCTAGGGGTGCCACAGCATGGTACTGATTTCTCGAGTTTTTCGAATTTTCTTTAGTTGAAGACATAACTTACATTTAATTCCTAAGAAAATTATTTTTAATGTCTTACTTAATCTTGAGTCTAAGTATCAAATTATTGAATAAAATTAAGTTAAACTCTAAAAAGATCAAGGATATTACTCCAATGTTAGATACAGTATATGCTAATGATCATTTTCTTCATAAAAATTTATATATCTTGTCTCTACAATTTAAATATACATAAATAAATATATTAAAAATTAGATATATTCGTTCATTATAAAAACATAAAGTACAAATCAATTTTGAGTTTAATATTAAAAAACTTCTTGAAAATCTATTAAGACTTACCATTAAAATGCATTAAGCAACGGACTGAAGAGAATGAGGTATCTCAAAGTGGCGCCATTTTGAAAATGTAGGCTAGTTTCTTACTTTTTTTTTATCGTCATTACCTGGAAAATATACAATATATATCACGCAATTATCGATTGTGCCAGGCTGCACGAACCAATAAGTGGTTGAGTGACCTTTGCAAAGTCTGGGACTTCATCGATTTTTGATTCAAACTGGCCTAATTTTGTCAAAAAATATTATAAGATCGCTTACTAAATCTTAACGAATGAGTGAATAATTTAATTTGAACGAGTCTAGGAAAAGAATTTTTAAAATAAACTCTTAAATTATTCATATTCATATCGTAACTAAGCAACTATATATGTATGGAAGGATGTGAATGAATGGATTGACACGCATCTGTTTTGTGCAAAACAACAATAGTTTATTCATTTTTAATGTACTTAATGTTTGAATTATATTTACAACTTGACTGTTTAATCGTTAAAAAGTTGGAAATAAACATTTTCTAAATTTGTAAAGTTGCAAAATCCTGCTTCTCGATTTCAACCTTGAATGAGGAAAAGTAAAGTATCCACGTACAACTTCATTCCTTTAATTAAAAATTAATAAAATTGACTAATTAAATCGCGGCAATGATTTATGAGTTAATTGATTCTATGAAATTTTGTAAAATGTTAATTCGCTTAGCAAAGAATTTTTTAACGTAACGATAATATATAAGGTAACAGGCATAAGTACTTCATATGTTTTATCTTCTAGACAAGAACCAAATGACCAAAATAAATCGCAGATGCTTTGTTCAAGGTCTACGGCATTGTCTTATATCTAAGAAGACAATGCGAATGCAAGATTTTGAATAGAGCATTTATACATTAAAATAATTCACAAAAACGTTATAATGTTCTAGAATTAGAATGAATAATTCATGAGTAGAAACTATCACCTTCCTATTTCTATTAATAGGTGAAATAAAGCATTATACCTTTCAACAACTTTATCAATTAGTCTCAAATTGAAGTTTCCCAGATGTATGTCCTTTTTTACATATGACCTAAGATGGAAGATGATTTATTCAAAAATCCTTCCTCGATCCTTAGTTTGCCGATAATCGAGTTTATATACTTTATTAACAATGTGTAAGTTTCAGTTTTTATAGATTAGAATCATTAGGAGTTATTCTATACCCGAACGATCACATTTGGGATTTCTGAAGAACCCTTTCTTGTAAAATAGACTTTTCGAATTTTATGAAGAATCCAATTATTTGTAGTGTTAAATACTAAAAAAATATGATAAAAATGCTCGAACTTACTCATATTTTTGTACTTGTAACACAAATTTGGCAAACAAGTAACCGACCTTAATCTGAGAAGCAGTAAAAATAGCTAAGGACTGATTCATTAAAATTAAAAAGTATATATACTCCTTCAAAAAATAATTTTAGGAAGATTTTAAAATAGATTTTAAGAAAATTTATATTCTTTGATGTATTTAAGAAACGAAATTTTTCTAGATTCTACTGCAGATTCGATGTTCAATTAACGTTTGACGTTCACAAATATGCATTTCATGTACGTACTTCAACGTTTATTACTGACTCGTGCTTCAATTATCTTTAACAATTATTGGATAATTCCCAAATTAAATTCATAACGGGCAAAATTCCAAGAATGAAAAATAATTTCACGTACTAAAATCTTCGGTGCCATGAATGCTTTTGATATTCTTCACTCGAAATACGTTGGTGCACGTATTCTTCTATAGAAAATTTCCTATACTTAAATGAATCTAAGATTTCAAACGTCTCCGATGCCTAAATTACAGTTAGGAAAACATTATGCAAATTATCAAAGCACGAATGGCAGAATCATTTACAGATATGGAATTGCAAAATATGTCTCCGATAGCTGTTTTAGCGCATGCCCAGATATACTTAAATAAATGGACCGAAAGGTGTGGGTGGACGAATCTAGAGTGGGTGACTCTCGAGTCAAGATGTTAGAAGGAACACTTTCGGTTTACGCATTCATTATTATATTTCCAATAGCCGTTTTAGCCGGTTTGCTATTTCTAATCAGGAGTTCCAACAAAGCTACAGAATGGTACGAAGGAGACGAACGTTTGGATGGAAAAACCGTGTTAATAACAGGTAAAATTTTATTTTTAAAAAGAATTTCTAAAGAAATGGCCATAGATATTTAAATTTCTTTGTTGTTTTGAAGGTGGAAGCTCCGGTTTAGGTCGAGCTCTTTCTGTGGAACTAGCGAAGAGAGGAGCTAGAGTTATTGTGGCATGTAGAACTAAAGCGCGTAAAGATTCCACAGCTTTCTTTCTAAGAAGCAGAACAGGAAGCTTTAACGTTCGAGTTATGTACTTAGACATGTCAAGTTTAGATTCCGTCTGGGAATTTGCTAAAGAACTATCTGACACCGAAGAGAGATTAGATCTGATTGTCAATAACGCTGGTAAGTAGCTTCGTAAAGAGAGCGCATTAAGCTCTTAACACCAAGATTTTCTTGGAATTTTCACTTCTAAAACATCTCTCGGATATTTTAAATGTGTAAAACAAATTGTTCTTATTAATTTTAGTTATTTTTGTGAAGTACGTATTTTAGGTTTTCGTTAAATAAGGATGGCAGTCATAAAAATGAGTTTCAAACGGTCAAATTAAAAAAAAATTCAAAATTTGGGTACGTTGATATGAATATTGTACGATATTTTTGTTGCATATTTTCTTCCCAACTCGACTAAAATTAGCTACTTTAGCTTCTTGACCAAAAATAGAGTTCGTTACACGATTGAGTCAGAAACATTTTATCATTGGATGATACTTTTCACTATTACGAGAAATTCGTTTAGAGAATTTTTTAGATAAATTTAAGGTTTTTGTTTTAGATAAGCGTACACTTTATTGTCAATTGGGATGGAGTGAGAGTCTGGTATAAAGCTCTATTCATTTCTATATTTAGCAATTACATAAGCCATTGAAAGTACGTTGAATGGCATCTCTATAGGTTTATAAAAATAAAATGGCATCGAGTTTTCTTTTATTTATGGCTCTATTAAAATATTTTGCGGTCGAAACTTTTAAAATGAGCGGGCTATTATCAAAGTGTCTCGAGACATTGCAAGTTTTTTTTTAATTCTAAAGCATAAATCAGTTCGACCGTTGCTCTCTTGGATGAATTCCATCATTTTCAAAGTTATGATGGTTGTGTGTTTGTATAGTGATGAACCACAACTGGAATTTTAAGCACTTTTTTGTGTACTGTGGAATGTGATATGCTAAAAAAACTATTTAGTGTATCGTAATCTTACAAATAATTATTGTAAGCATACTTTATAAGAACGCTAAATGTAGACATACACATTAGTTATTCCAACAGTATACTAACAAAGCACACTGTGCTATTATTACAGTTTGATATAGTTAATAATTTACTTAAAGCTAATGATCTATTAATGATATGTCGTGCCTCGTCCCTCACCACCCGGTCGCCTCATTGTGGCCTGAACTCATAATGGGCTTGCTATAAAAGGTCCTCTAATGTCCACAGGGCGGAAAGAGTTTAAAACAAAAAAAAAGATATATTAATGATAACAGAATTAATTGTATTATTAACTTGTAAGTTAATGATAATGATTGGTAATGATGAACTATTATCAGCTAATAGTTTAATACGTTATTAAATTTGTTAAAAAGTAAAAATGCAGTAAGAATACATTAATTACTATTAGAACACAATTGCATTATTATTCATTAGAATAGTTACAAATTACTTTGCAGTATAGTACTAATTGACATTACACTTACAATTAGTCAAGGTTATTTAATAGAAAGACCGTGATTTACTTAAACTTCAATTTATCAAAATAGATATAATAGAAATTTGTTACATTACAGGTCGTTTATGTCCTAGAGCATGGACCGCCGACGGTTACGACTTGATGATGGGAGTCAATTACTTGAGTCACTTCTACTTGTTCAACTTACTACTAGAAAAATTGAGGGAGACCGCACTCGATAGTCCAGTTCGTATAATTAATATACTATGCGGAAGCTTTCGTTCTGGTAAAATTGCAAATATCGACGATATGGAATGTAAAAGTGGTCCTTACGACATGAGACAGATCTATAAGAACAGCAAACTCGCATTGCATCTCTTTAACAAAGAAATTTCTCAAAGATATCGTAATCAAAATATCGTATCTTTCGGAGTCGATCCCGGTAACTTCTTTTTACGACACGTTGCTGACCATCGTTGCTGATATTTACGTTTATACTAATAATAAAACTCTTTCTAGGTCCGGTTGCTAGTGGTTTACACAAGAATTTACCAGGTGTTATTGGTAAATTGTGGAGAGGAGCGGCTCAGGTGCTCTTCCGCACCACCGAAGAGGGCATCCAAACGATGTTGTATACCATTTTATCAAAGGATATCGAATGTTTCACGGGAAAAATATTCCGTGATTGTCGTTTCCAAGATGTTCGAAACTCTGAATGGACTGATAAAGTCATAACTTCTCTTTGGGATAAATCAGTGGAGGCCATCGAAAGCAAAGGATTGAGCTTCAGTTTGAAAGACGAAGACGAAGAATAATTCTACAATTTTTCTTTTTTTAAATTGTTTTCTATCGATGCCAGTTTTTAACTCAATCGGCTTCTTAGAATTGCGTCGGAAGAGTAATTTTTGTGGCCGTTTATGTGACTGTCCGTGGTTAACATTAACAAAACAGAAGTTAAATGCGCGCGAAACTGTTAATCTATTTAAAAATATATAGTTATGCTAGTTTATTTTTTATGGAAATTCATATATAAACAAATTACATCTCATACAGATATATAGAGAAGTAATATGGTAGCACCATCTTGTACTGTACATATGGTAGTACCATGGCTTGTATTTATGGTAATACCATCATTAAAATAATTATCTATATTTATTAATGTACTATACTATAATTATTTTTCTATAGCAATTAATGTAGTAAGAGTTTGAAAAATGCATTTTCACATATAAAATAACCTCAAAATGACATATGAAATTTTCATGCAATTTCATTCACTTCCATTCATTCTTAACTCAATGTTAAATTTTGAAAAACCATATTTAAATGTTTTATTATTTATTTATTTTTTACGTCAATGTTTCAATAAGTGATTAGAGTTTTTAAAAAAAAAAAACAGTAAAATTTAGTTAATTTATTTAAAATTTAAACAAGAAGCTCTGTTCTGAAGTTATAGACTTATAATTTGTAGTACTTAAAATTCTTGTTGCTAGCTTTAACTCTTGATTTTTTTAAGTTCTTAAATAGTTTCTTTATAATAAAAATATACAAATTAATCAGAAATGTGTGATTATTTAATTTTTCTACTTTGATCTGAAGTTCTTACGCAAGAAAGAAATTCCTTGCGTAACATTCTTATGTATATTTATCCAGTCATAAAAGTAATTTTCCATTCAATTTATCACTCAGTTTCAGTCTATATACTAATTTTAGCGCTACCTCCGTCATATTTCTATATATAGTTGTTGGAATGTTACCAAAAAGTAAGCAGTGGTAAGTACTGTACCTTCCAATGGATAAATGTCATCCTGTTTCATTAGTTTTTCTTCTAATGATTAAGTTATTTTTTAAATAAAAATTTTTATACAAATCTATCTATGAATTACTTTTTTTTGAGGATTACGAAATCTACAGTGGCAGAAGTTTATGTGAGTTGAAGAAATTTTTAAATTGTGCGGTTGATGTTACTAAATTATCCATTAACTTGATTGTAAAATGAAAATTTAATTTGTTTTCTTTAAGTTTTACATAATTCCATTGTTTGAGATGTCCGTCAGAACACTTTTTAAAAGTCTGTTGCAAGAGTTTCCATACGAACTATCTGTTACATCAACATTTCGTAGAACAGCCATGTTCCTATTCAGCATCGATTCTAAGATTAGCTGTAACCTTATTCAAACGTCTAAACACAATTTGTAGCAAGATAAGCCGTGTTGTAATTGAAAATAATGTATACAACTTCCATTTCTATTCTATTTTTGTCCCACTGAATAGATATTCAATAACTGAAATCTCTTTTGCATTTATAATTACTACTATTATTATTATTTTTTAAAGCTTGTGTTTTATTTCAGGTTTTGAAAGTATGTGCCAATCACAATATTTTACCAAACATGGAACTACAGCCTATGAAAGACAGTGATCGTGCATGGGTTTGGGCTGCTCAGGATTATGCTGATGAAGAAATGAAACTGGAAAGATTTTGCATTCGATTTAAAACATCAGAAATTGCAGTTTCTTTCAAAACAGCTTTTCAGCAGGCTGTGTTATTTACTCGAAACAAAAGTAATCAGACAAGTTCAGTAAGTGCTTCAGACAAAATCTGTAGCCCTGGACCTCAAGGTGATAGTTCTCAGGATAAGGAAATTGGTTTTGGAGATAGATTTAGACCTAAACAAGGATATTGGACATGTTCAACTTGTTTAGTAACAAATATGCCAGATAAAGAATTGTGTGTTGCATGTGAAAGCTTTAAACCAGGAAGTAAACCTCAGAGTTCCTCTTTAAATAGAGAATTTGATCAATTACAAAATTCTTCTGCCAATCAGTTTTCATTATCTAATATTAATAAATCAATTCAGCAAACAGACAATCAGACAGTAAAATTTGGAACATTTACTTTTGATAATAAATGTCAAAATACAAACCAAGACAAAGCATTTTCATTAAGTTCGTCCTTAAGTAAAGACAAAACTGTGTTTGGAGGATTTACATTTACATCAACACCTGTTATCAAAAATAATGAAACTACAGAGAGAGAAATCATAAAACTTAAAGATAAATTAAAAGACGACAATTCTGTGAGTCAGGCAAAACCCAGCCCATTTGCATCTTTCAGTTTCAAATTACCACAGAATAAGGACAAAGATACAGTTCAAAAAGATAATTTGGCCACAGATAATCCTTTTGTTATTGGAAGTGAAAAGAGCAACTTTTCAATTGTTAATAATGTAAAGAATATCACTTCATCTGCATCTTTATCCTCAAATTCTACTTCAGACAATGATTATGTATTTGGAAAAGAAAGTAATATAAGTAATATTAGTTTCTCAAATATATTAAGTGAAAAAAAAGAAAATTCATTCCATGTAGATCCAAATTTTAAAGGTTTTTCGGGTGCAGGTTCCTCAGTATTTAATACTTTGTCAGGAAAAAGTGCAGATAATGCCCAAGATAATGATGTACCCGAAGAATTTGTGCCAACCGTTGAATTTAAACCTTTAATTAATTTACCTGAATTAATAGATGTGAAAACAGGGGAAGAAGATGAATTAAAGTTATTTGGTGAGCGAGCTAAGTTATATAGGTATGATTCGGAGGGAAAACAATGGAAGGAGCGTGGTATTGGAGAATTGAAAATATTATTTAATGAAAAAACTAAAAAATATAGAATTCTTATGAGGCGTGAACAAGTATTAAAATTATGTGCTAATCACAACATTCTATCTTGGATGAAATTAAGTGTGTTGTCATCCAGTGATCGTTCATGGGTTTGGTTTGCTCATGATTATGCAGATGGAAAGTTACAAAAAGAACAGTTAGCTGCAAAATTTAAAACTGTCGAAATTGCTCAAAAGTTTCGTGAAATTTTTGAACAGTGTCAAGAAAAAATTGAAAATGAAACAAAAGATACTCCCTGTGAAAGTACTGAAGCATCACCAAACAAAACATCAGAATCATTATCAGATAATAGACCGTTATCTGAAATTTTTAAGCCATTACCAGGAACCTGGAAATGTAATGGTTGTTATATTACCAATGAACAAAAGAATGCTACATGCATATGTTGTGAAGCACCCAGACCTACTACTATAACAAGTTCATCAGTGGAAAATTCATCTACAGATAATAATAATTTTAGAACAAGTGCAGAATCTTCCATAATAAATTCTCAAGTAGAAAATGCTGCAATTAACAATAATAATAATCTGTGTATAGCCATTGATAATACAGAAAAACTAAATTTAGGATCAAATAAATTTATCAATATTAATACTGCCTCTTCAGTAAGAACTACGAGTGACTCCATTCTGAAACCAAGTGTTATATCAGGAGTGATTGCATCTATAACTACTACTACCACCACTACCACCTCTATTACAACAACAGCTATTACAACCAATACTATTCCTACAAATGAATCTTCAACATTTAGCTTAGTCAAACCTTCTTCAATTTTTCAATTTAATTCATCTTCATCTAAAACTTTGTTTAATATTGGTGTCAGCACCCCAATAAAACAGCCAGAAGAAACAGAAAATACTGAAACAAATGTACATTTTAAGTTTGGAAGCCCTCAAAAATATGAATTCACATTCAGTGGAATAAGACCAAGAAGTCCAAGTAAAACACCTAAATCTCCAGGAAGTGTAACGGATAATTCATTTGATAAGGGAGATGAAGTAGAATCACCTGAAGCAGATGGCATTTTCTTCCAACCTGTTATTCCTCTTCCACCAAAGGTATCAGATTTTCTCAATTTATTTGTAGAAACATATTAAAAACATGTCTCATATATATTATTTCAAAGTAAGGTCCATTTCAAAATAAGGAAAAAAGTATGAAAGATAAAAATAATTCATTATATCAGAAGAGATTAGAGTACACATTTCTAATACTTTTCAAGACAATTACTATTGACTTCTGCACATTTTTGATATCATGTCACCAGTTTCTTTATTTTATTGTCAAAGAAGTCCTCCACCAATATCTTGAACCATTTAGTAGTGCTGTTTTTAGTTTATTGTCATTTTCTGCCTGCTTCATTGAAAACCATTTCTTTAAATGCCAAAACAAATGCTACTTGGTGCAAGACTGAGGCTATAAGGCAGATGGTCAAAAATTTTTCAGCAAAAGTGCTGTAGCATTCAAATGTTGAGATGCAGTGTGAGGTTGAAGCATCAATATTATGTGCGTTTAAAAAAATTTATAAAATTTGAGATTTCAAAAAATCAAAAAAAAAACTTTTTTAATGAAACATCTGATTAATCTGTTATATATGTTAGATAGATAGGTCTATATTCTCACAAATAAAACAACTGCAGCTTTCTAAACCAATGTAGAGAAATAATACAGCCTATAGATTATAACACTGATCGGCGTGGAAGGGGGTGTTGGTGATGGTTTTCTAAATCTAGCTCAATACAATTTTTATTATTGATGATGTATATTTGATTCTATTTATATGTTATTTACACTATTGTGCTAACAGTGGTATATATCAAGCGATTATTACTTTATTATACAGTAGAGCCTCGATTATCCGACTCAATTGGGGACTGGGGTTGGTCGGATAATTGAAAAGTCGGATAACCGAAAAGTATGAAAAAATCCATTACAGTAGAGTCTCGATTATCCGACCCAATTGGGGACTGGGGTTGGTCGGATAATTGAAAAGTCGGATAACCGAAAAGTATGAAAAAATCCATTATTAGTGTAGTATATTATTATATCCCATGTAACTAGTATATCGTTATTAACCTACTTCGCGTTGAATTTTCATCGATGTTAAGCCTAACAAAAATTTTTTAAAATAATAATCGTCGCTATCGTATCGTTAAAAATTAGAAAATTAAGCCTCGTTTAAATACTGGCTCCCTTTTGTGGTTGAGCCATGTTGCCAGCTAAAACACGTAAAAATAATATTAAAGTAGCCAAGACATAGCCAAATATTGTAGCGCCACATCACTAGCGGACATTTGAAATTTGCTGACTAGGACGGTCAGTTAACCGAGGTGTTGGTTAATCGGGGGTTGGATAATCAAGGCTCTACTGTATTAATGATTATACATGTATTTTTTTATGTATTTCAGAAGTATTATGATAACTAGAAGTACTTTGTTTTTTAAAAGATTTATGGCTGCATGGTTTAAAAAACTTGCTTGTTTGTTAAATAGGATAAATATACATAAAAATTTACTAAATTCAAGCTAAAAATAGATGAGAATAATGATTTGTAATTGTTTGTTTGTTTGTTTATGTTTGTAGCTGACAATGTAGCTCTGAGAAGGTATAACTTTTTCCAAGAAAGTTCCCACCCCACAAACCCAAGTCAATGCTTATATGTTAAAGGATAATTATTCAGCTATAATATACCAATTAGAGCTCAACAAGCCTGCAAACAAGGATTTTATTGTCAAATGAACAAAAGAAAGGTTTCTCAAAGACTTAACATGGAAAGGACAAGTTTTGTGGGTAAATTTAAAAATACGGGTGGTAACAAATATCTTATTTGTTGAAACAGACTTAGTCTATGTAGATAAAAGCCAATCAGTGCTTAAATTGGCACCAACTAGTTAATTATAGAAAAAAAAAAATTGACACTTACTTCAACTGGAGTACTGCGCAACAGTTTAACTAAAACCTGTTTCTCCAATGGTAGTACCTTGCAAACAACTGGTTAAGATCTTGCCGGCGACTTTTTTGACAATGGAATAAGGAAACTGGTGACACGATATCAAAAATGTGTGGAAGTCAATGGTAATGTTGAAAATATTAGAAATGCATACCCCAATGTTGAAAATATCAGACATGCATAGATTTTTGCTATAATAAATTATTTTTATCTTTTATATCTTTTTTCTTCCCTCTTATTTCAAAGCAGACTTTAAAAATGCACTTTGCAAAATACTGTGAGATATTCCATACATCTTAATGTTATTACATAAATGATGAAAGAAATGTTAATAATGAGAATATTATTATAAGTATAAAATGTAACCCCATAATTGAGCTGCCCATTTGCCAAGTTAATTAACTTCACAAAACAAAAAAGTAGAGAAATTGATAAAATATATATATATATATTTTTTTTTAAATTCCTTTTAAAATTTAAATAAACATCATAGAATGTATTATACAGTCATAGCTTTCATCTAATGACACACAAAATAAGTTATTTCAAGAATATTTTCTACATTTTTCACATAATTAAGGGAGTTAATTGATTTGGCATGTAAATGGCTCAATTATAAAATTTAACTTGCATATTTATTTTAATAAGAATGATCAAAAACTTATGCAGAAGAGTTATAAAAATTTTTCACATAATAATGAAATATGAGCATCCAATGAATGAAATTAGTAAATTTAAATAATTCTATAATTAATTAATATATAGATATAAAATATGAGAAATTATAACTTTTTTGTCATATAATAATAATAATTTGTTATCCATGATTTGTATTTTTCTTCAGTGTACAGATTTTCAGTTTTGAAAAGATTTTAATAATTTTTCTTCTCTGTTATAGTAAATAAAGAAACATTACTTGAAGACATAAAAATAAAAATATACATTAGAATTTGGGTTTAGTCGACATAGTATTCAGGACCAATGACTTTTTTTTAAACTGGTATCTGATAAAAATTGCCATATACAGGGTGATTATAATTAAAGAGTAGGTGTTTAGAGCTCTGTAGAAATATTGGGCAAATCTAAGCCAAATTTGCTATCTATGCTGTCCTGAATATGCAGTTTCAATTTTTAAGGAAAAAGTTTTACTTCAAAATTCAGCTGCTGGGATTAAATTTGGCACTGTTGTTTTCTTAATATGCATTTTGCATAAGTTTTTTTTTAACAAATTTTGGAAATCAAGAAGCAAAGTGCAATAATTTTATTTCAATTACAGATGTGGTAACATGTGGGATTGACAATTGCATTGAAGATATGGAAAAAAAAATGCATTTGCTGCACAACACACTCAACATTTAAACTTTGTTAGAAAGCATATGTATGATGCACATTAAGGGGACAGTGGTGTCAAATTTTGCTCAAATGGGTGAATTTTGAAGTAAAATTTTTCCCAAGAATTCCAACTTTACACTCAGAACAGTATGTATACCAAATTTAGTTTGGCTTTACACAATAGCTTTTTGTACAGAGAGTTTTGAACACCTACTCTTTAATTAAATTATGCTTACTCTGCATTTTTCAATGCTTGACAATTGAGTAATTGATACATTGCTTTGTTTTATAAAAAAAAAATTATATTAAGAACAATGCTCAGAAATAGCCAAAGAATTGCCAAAATTATATGTCATTTTTACATGATAATCAATTAACATAATTTTGCAAAGTATTAAGTGTCAGCTCACACTTGTCATGTGGAAGCATTGCCAGTAGCATAACTGGCAATGCATCTGTATGGCAGACGGGCATTACAAGCTTGAGTTTCACTCTGCGCTGATTCTTTTCCTCCAGAATCATCTAAGTTAATTATTAAATATTACTTTAATTGTAAATATTAAATTTATCAAGAGATGGTGCCAAATGCCATTAGATATTAGCATTATTATAGCCCAATCTAATTAGGCAATCATTTGGCATTAATCTAAAAAATTGGCTTAATGGATGTTTATATTTAAATGTTGTATAATTATGAAATACTTTGATATTTATGTTAAATTACTATTGCAGATAGACATAAAAACTGGTGAAGAAAATGAAGAAGTTTTATATTGTCAAAGAGCTAAACTTTTTAGATTTGTTAGTGGTGAATGGAAGGAACGTGGAGTAGGAGACATTAAAATACTACGTTCCCCAGAAACAAACAACATTAGGTTATTAATGAGGAGAGATCAGGTAATAATAATAATAATAATTTGACAGATATGTTTATGTAGATTTGATGTTATTACAGGGAAAATTATTTTAATGCTAATGTTTTAAATTCAGCTCTTATGTTTAATGAATTTTGAAATTTTTTTTAATATGATTTTTTACAAGTAAAATTATTCTGTGTCCAGGAAGTTGAATCACTCAGTTTTTGTTTTTGTAAAAGAGATACTGAGACATTGTCAGGACATCAGTATGAGCTTTGTGATCTTACGGAGTCTGATATTGGCAGTAAGTTCTCCAAGATGATCTGGTGTGGGAAGAAAAAATGCTGCTATCACTGCATTCAGTTTTTGACAGACTCTCTTTGATGAAAAAACTCCATAAACCATTGTTGGCCATTGTAAGGTTGGGTACACCTTAGTGGCAATGGGAAAGATGCTGGAGATTCAATGGATCTCTGGCCAATCAGTCTGTTTGGAACAAATTTTTCCAAGCACTTGTAGACAATACAAAATGAGTGGGAGCACTATCTTGTTGAATGATGGTGGTGGTTGCTATTCCTTCTTCCAAAGGACAAAATCACTTTCAGAACATCTCTTCATAAGCAGGGATCATGCTACATAGCACTAAAATTGCCACTTGGCAATATTTTTATTAAAGTGGCAATAAAAATATAATACTGGTGATAGCAAGTGGTGATAAAAATCCTAATCTGCTTATTTCAACATTCAGTGTGAAGTTGAATCACACTTTGGGAAAAACAGCAAAATGTCGAGCTTTTGTACAAAGGGAGTCCTGTGCACCACATGCCACGTGATGTCATGAAATTGCTAGGTAAGTTTGGGCACAAAAGTAGGAAGTAACATTGAGAATGGAATGCAGTTTTGTGCAATGCCATCCAGCATTTCCACAGTGGGACTTTTTATCGACTAACAGAAATTTTGGGGAATTTTTGGGATGACTTTTTCACTTTGATTTTTTTTTTTTAGTAGACAAAAACAAATTTTGGCATTATAGAACCTGTGAAACACTGTTTAAACATTGTGATCAAATATGTTATTCAGAATTATTCATTAAAAAATTATTCAAAAATGATTGCTATTGCTAACAAGGAGAGGACCAGACATTCAGGACTCCAATTAGAATGAATTATGGTGAGCATGTAGCCTTAAACACAAACAGCTTCTTGTCCAAATAATAGGACCCACTTCTCAAGTGTTTACAGAAATTGGGCCACTAAAAATTCAGTTTTTACCTTATAAGTTTTTGGAATCTCTGAGTGGCAATAGATAAGACACTAGGTACTGCAACTAGATGATAAAGTTCAAACCATTGGAATTTTATTTTAGTTTTGTTTCTCTATGTGTATCATTATTATTTTATTATTTTACCACAGCATTGTTATTATGTGTTGGGTTTAGTGGGTTATACTCGGTACACACCGGTGGTTGTGTACTATGCCGGACCAGAGTCAAGGCATAGCAACCAAAACAAAACTAAAATTAAATGTGTGTGTCAGTGTCAGTGTCAGTATTAAGGAATTTCCTAACAATATGGCATGTGTTCAATATAGTGGCCTTCTGTAGTGTGATGTATGTATTTCTACTCAATTGTAATGTTCCCAGGCTTTTGTGTAGCGTGTGTGGTATCACACCTGTACAGGAGAGAACAACAGGTACAATAACTACCCTATCCATCCTCCACAGATGCCTTATTTCCTGGGCGAGTTCTGTGTACTTGCTAATTTTTTCAGTGCATGTGTTTTGTACATTGTGAGTGTTTGGAATGGCTATGTCTATAATGTATGTGATTTTATTGTGTTTGTCAATGAGTGTGATGTCTGGTCTGTTGTGGTAAATTGTTTTATCTGTGATTATGGCTCTGTCGTAATACATTTTGTGCGTGTTATTTTCCAATACTGTCTGTGGAATATACTTGTAGTATGGTTCGTGGATGTCTGCCAATTTGTGTTTCTTTGCAAGCTCTTGGTGTATTATATTTGCTACTTGATTGTGTCTATGTAAGTAATCTGTCTGTGCCAAGAGCTTGCAACCAGAAGTGATGTGTTGTATAGTTTCTGGCATGATGTGACATTTTCTGCATGTGTCATTTGTGAGTGTTGTATCTTTGAGTATGTGTTTTCTGTAGTTTTTAGTATTTATGACCTGATCCTGTATGGCAATCATGAATCCTTCCGTCTCCCCAAAGAGGCATCCCCGATCTAACCAGCTGTTTGACGCAGTTTTGTCAACAAAATCCTGGGCCAGGTCATAAGGATGCCTGCCATGGAGTGCCTTTCGAGCCCACGATTGCTTGATGGTGTCTATGCTTTTTATGTGTTGTGTCATGTCTGTATGATGTGAGTGTAAGTTTAATGGTGTGTTATTTGAGTCTGCTAGAGTTACTGCTTTATGTAACTGTGATGTTTCTTGTTTCTTGTAGAAAAACTCTCGCAGTGACTGTATTTGTTTGTAGTGAAGGTTAACTATGTCAATCAGGCCACGTCCGCCTTCTTTACGTGGAAGGGTTAATCTTTCTGTGGCGGATTTAGGATGATGTTGTTTATGCTTAGTAAGTGTTGTTCTTGTTTTCCTTTGGAGTTGCTCGAGATCTGTGTGAGTCCAATGTATAACTCCAAAAGAGTATGTGAGTACTGGGATGACATATGTGTTTATTGCTTTAACTGTGTGTTTTGCATTTAACTGTGTTCTAAGTATAGCGTTTAACCTACTTTGGTATTCTTTAATTAATCGTTGCTTTATTTGTGTATGTTCTGTTAGTTTGGCCTGTTGGAATCCTAAGTACTTGTAGAACTCGCCCTCTTCCATGGATTCAATAACGTCTCCATTTCCAAGTGCAAAATCTTCTTTCTTCAGGATTCCTTTTTCTATGTGAAGTTTTTTGCATTTGTCTAGGCCAAACTCCATTTGTATGTCCTTAGTGTATGAATGTGTGATTTGTAGGAGTTGATGAAGTTGTTTTTGTGTGGATGCATAAAGTTTTATGTCGTCCATGTACATGAGATGTGAGAGTGTAAACTGTGTTGTTTTTTCGTGTCTGATATTGTAGCCGTATTGCGTGTTGTTTAACATGTTGGATAATGGATTCAGGGCTAGGCAGAACCAGAGAGGACTCAAGGAATCTCCTTGAAAAATTCCTCGCCTAATGAATATTTCGTTTGTTTGTATGGAAGTGTTACTAACCCTGAGATGTAGTGTTGTTCTCCAGTGCTGCATAGTGTTTTCGAAGAATGCAATGAGTGATGGATGTATTTTGTACATGTGTAGAATATGTAGCAGCCAACTGTGTGGAACACTGTCGAATGCTTTTCTGTAGTCTATATATGCCATGTGTATGTTTCTGTGTTGTTTGTGTGCTTGCCGTAGAATGACTGAATCTATGAGTAACTGTTCTTTGCATCCCCTGTGATTTCTACGGCAACCTTTTTGTTGTTCTGTAAGAATGTCGTGTTCTTCTACGTGTTTGTATATTTTGTTTGTGATACAGGATGTCAATAATTTGTAGAGTGTTGGAAGACATGTAATTGGTCTGTATTGTGTCTGTATATTATTATTATTATTATTATTATTATTATTATTATTATATATATATTTTATATTCAAAAATTTCTTATTCAAAATTTATTCTTATTCAAAAAAAATTCAATATTTTATATTCAAAAATTCTTTAAAAAATTCAAATTTTAGATTTAATGTAAAGAGGATACTGTTTTATATAAATAAATATATATATAAAACAGTATCCTCTTTACATCTAAAATTTGAATTTTTTAAAGTATGATATTAACAATGATAACTATAATAAATTTGATCAGAAAATGTGCTTATGTAGAAAATACTTGGCACTAAATACTTTTCGACAATGATCTTCTGCAAAATCCAGTTTAATCTTTCTTTTTTATATTAGGTACTTAAAGTTTGCGTGAATCATTATATCACGGATACTATGAAATTTACTTCAAAAGGAGACAAAACAGTATTTTGGGCTGCTGCAGATTTTACTGAAGGCGAATTACATCCAGAGCAATTAGCTCTTAGATTTAAGACAGTGGAAATTGCTAACCAGTTTAAGGAAGCAGTAGAAAACGCTCAAAATTTACTCAAAAAAAGTGAAACTCCTGCTATAAAAACCGAATCTTCTAAAAAGTCTGCTCTTGCAAGTTTTTCTTTCAACTTAAATAGCAACAAAAGTACTGAAGAACCAAAATTTGCTTTGTCTTCTGTATTTGGAGTTGCTTCACCGTCCAGAAATATTTTTGGTAATACTTCAACACAGAAAGAACCAGGTATTATTTTGATTAAGATTTTAAATATAATGCTAATCAATTAATATAATTGTGTAAATAAATTTACTTTGTTCAAACAGAAAAAAAAGAATTTTTATTTGTTATTACTATTTTTTTTTTTTTTAATTTCTTTGATTATTTGAATTTGACAGTGTACAGGGTGATTTGAAACTCTAATACAAACTTTAATGGGAGGCAAGGATCACTACAACAAATCTTTCTTGTTATTGAATGTATCAATACTTTTGCAGACATCACCTGTTGGTGCTAGAGGACATGATTGGACAGTGCAGCAATTAGCAATTTGTGGCTGTCATCATAACATGGACTTCATCTGTGTAACGTGGTGCATTTCACAAATGTTGAGATGTTTGACATGCATTTATTGCATGAGGCAACCAATGGTAATGGAAGAGTTGTTGTTAGTGTTTTATGAGCAATATGCTAACAGATGTGTACCAAAACACTGTCTGGTAGTTTGGTACACAGCTGTTAGCATGTTTGTACCAGCAACTGTGTGAGAATAGAAGATTCCAGGTAAACATGCATGACACTAATTGGCAGAGAACTATGTGCCCTCCTAATGTGGAAGAAGGGATCCTATGGCAGATTGAAGGCAGTCCAAGTAAAGCCTGCAAGCACTTGCACAAAACCTTGGTTTGACAACCATCAGATGTAGTGTGTTGCACAAGTAGAATTTACATCTGTTTCCTATTCAGATAGTCCAGTTATTGCATATGCATAGAATTGGCACATTGTTTTCTGTAGCAGAATACAATATAGTCAGATTTTCCAGCTCATCCTCTTCACGGATGAAGCCATGTTTGGGTGTGCAGAATCCATATTCTACAGGAACATTGTCAGTGGTTTTCTGATTGGGCCATATGTGTTGCTATCTCAACTTGATTGGTAGATTTATCGGATATATTTCAATGTTACCAGAACTGCTGAATGATGTTCCTACTTCTGTTTTCCATCACATGTGGTTCCACCAATGTTATGGGGCATCAGTGTGCTTCAGTATTAATGTATGAGATTATTTGAATGGCACTTTTTGAGTATGATAGATAAGCTAGGGTGGATGGGTTCATCTCTTAGACACCACAATAGAAGTGGATCATCTTATTGCATGTTGACTTTTAACACTCTTCATCACAGAACACTTGTTATCCCTCCTCCTCATGATAGGAGATCCATTTCTTTGTGTATATTATCATAGCAGAAATTACTTTTTTGATTGAAATTTGTTTAAAATAATTTCAAATTTCTGAAACTTTTGGATGGAAATCTAAATGTTAAGGAAAGGAAAGCTAGAGTGACTTTTTTAAATTATTACACATTTCAAAAGTTTTTATTTTATGATTTACTTAACTGTTATAAATCACAGCTTTATTATATAATTAAGAATTTAAAACCTGAAAACTGCTCCTTTTGTTAAGTAAACAATGAAATAAACTAATATGCAACTATATGTCACTCCTTACAACACATCCTGTCACAGGTACTTGTAAATTACTAAATGAAGGAATTGTTACAATAAGTATTCTTATTGTAACAATTCTTAAGAATTGTTAACAAATTCATAAGTATTCTTATTTAACAAATTCATAAGTATTCTTATTTAATTGTAAAAACATTAAAAAAGTTTTGTTTTATTATTCTCTATCTTCCATTAAAGTTTGTTTTGAATTACCCTGTACGTATTTGTTTTGATTAAACAAAATCTTTAACCAAAGAAATAAAATATATTATCACTAATTATAATTGTGTTAGTATCTATTTTTGTGGTTTTCAGTTTTTAATAATTAACTGTTTAAATTGCAAGCATAAGTTTTTACTGTTAGCAAAAATTCTGGAATATTTTTATTTTCTAATTAGAGCTTGCTTTAATATTGAAAAGCTTACCAAATGTTTTATGCAGTTATTGCTGGGAATATAAATGGATTTTGGGTCAGCTTGATATTATTATTATTATTTTAAAATTTTTTTGTATAATTCCTTAGTTAAGTGAGCTTTTATCTTTAATTTTATTCTTAAATTTCTATCTACTCTTTGTTCAAACAATATTTATATCACATTGACAGGCTGCAATTTGAAAAAATTGTAGATTTATAAATTCCCACTGTTGTCTGTATGTCTGCCTGTTGAGTTGTCTGACTTTCCTTAATCTTGCGAACAGTGTTAGATAGATGAAAGTCAAGATCAGATATGGAGAGCTTAACCTATTCGATGTTGAAATTTTTATTTGTTGCCTGTGACGCCATGTTGAATTTTCGTCGATGTTAAGCCTAAATTTTGTTTTTTTAAATAATAATCGTGTTTACTGTATCGTAAAAAATGATTTTTTTGTTTCACAAACAAAATATATATATTGAATAATATAAAAATGAAAAAAAATTTATTTTAAAAGTTTGTTTTAATATAAAAATTGTGACGCGAAGCGACATCTAGTATCAAAAACGTTCCAATGTAAATATGGAAATATTCGGGATCAACCATGCAGGTCAATGAGGTCAACCCGAAAATTTTTGGGATCAATGTAGGACAGGTTAAGGACAGGATGTCCCGATTAACTATATACATACTTTTGGTGTAAACTGGAAGTCATGTTATTTCGATTTAAAATTTTCTCCAATAGGTGTTCCAAAGATGATTGGCATGACGCTATTGTTAATGGAAAAGTAGACTATTATGTACAGGGGCAAGCCACTATTAATTTGGAGTGGAGAGCATATATTTTAAATTAAATAAATTAAAAATTGCAGCCTGGCATTGTGACAATGTCACAATAAATAATTGCTTGTTCTATTTTTCATTATTCTCTGATAAAAGCATTCTTTCATTTATTGTTTTCTTCAAATAATTGGATTAATTAATTTATATTTAATTTATATAAAGCTCTTCAATATGATATTTTCATGATGAATAATTTAGATGTGACATTGTTTTCACATTGTGCACTAGCATGTTGTTAATGTTAAATAAGAGGAAATTTTTTCAGATTTTTCTTAATAGTTAATGCTTATTTTACATACACAGTTTCATTGTACTTATTATTTGAGTTTTTGCATAATTACTTTTATTAAAAAAAGATGTACTCATTCCAAAAAACTATGTATGTCTCTGTCATTTTATTCTATATTAGCAAAGGAAAATATATATAAAGTAAATATTTCAAATAACCTTAGATTAATTCATTTCATGTATTACTATTATTATTTAATTCATTTTTTAAAATTTCAATTGTGTAAACATTTGTTGAATATAATCATAATTTATGTTGATTAGGTGCTGAAGATGAAATTGTGATATTAGAAGAAAAGCACGTTACTGCTGATAAACAAGCCGAAGCAGAGAAATTAATGTTGCCAAATAATTTCTTTATGTATGAGAAGAAGCCACCTTGTCCCGGATGTCGGGGTTGTGAAATGGAAGGTGAAGATATAGGTAAAGTATTTTTGCTTTCTTCAAAATTATTTTAATTTCAGTAAACACTTTATCATCTGGTTATCTCTACATGTAACAATCTTAATTAATAAACAATTTCTAATAAAAATTTTAATGAAAGAGCATAGATTGTATGCTAAATTATTAAATGTTACACAAATTGTGATAATTGATGTGGTGTATCATTAATTAAATTTTGGGCAATTAAATTATTTTCAATAATAATTTTATAATCATTAAAATGAATATAAAACATTAATTGTGAAAAATGCAATATATATTAACCCATGATCACAGGCACAAGGCATTGTTTTTTGCTCTGATGTCATTTTTAATAAATTGACATCATCAAAAATGATATGGGCTGCAAGTTGTTATGACATTGAATGCTTGTCTATGATTCTTGACAATAACAACAACAACATCTTCTCTTGATAATACCCCATGCTAGCCTGGAGCACTGTAAACTAAAACAATTTAAACATTTTCAGTTTTATTTCATTCCAAAAAATCATTTGCTAGTCCTTCTGAAATACACACTTCCTGTCATTTATTTCCAGCTGAACTCATTTCACATTAGCCCATACTATTGCAAAGTTTGTAGATTTCTCTATGGGAGCTCTTGAAAGGACATTATTCTGTAAACCAAACAATATCTCGTAAACTAAACAACATATGATGATGAAATTTTGCACGTGCAGAGAAGATATGTCAAAGGACTTTTCACAAAAAGGAAATTATACAAATTTGAGGAATTTGTATAATTTAAAAGTCACTTGATTAATTGCTTTTATCCAAATTCAAAGATTATTTTTTAATTATTTATTTCATTAGTTTGAAAGAATTATTTCAGTGGAAGTTCAAAATTTGAACATTTAAAACAAATAATGTGCTATAAAATTTGTTTTTTAAATTATTTTCAAAAGAATTGCAGCTAATTTGTTTGATAAATTTATAAAATGAAACCTCTTAAATATTTTAAAATGTGGCGTAGTAAACACTAGTATTGTGTTTTATTCCAAAGACACATTGCAAGTTTTCCATCAAATTCCTTTATTAGTTGAGTCGATACGGTACATTGTTTTGTACTCGTTTCGGGCTTTGCCCCTCTTCAGTCAACTAAAATACAATGAGTACATAAACGATATATAGACGTACCTTTTGGTTACACTTTGTATAATTTAAAAATATGTAAAATCTGCTTTAATCTTTTGTAAATAAACTAGTATATATTACAAATTAAAAGTTTAAATCTTCCAGAATCTTCCTTTTTAGGCAGATTTTGATACAACTGTAAAAATTTATAGCTGCTTCCGCCCCCTTTTTGTCTTTTGCGCTGGTATCTCTAGTGTTGCCACGTATGACGTTCGCCACCTTGTGGTTTGATTTTTACTAAAATCTGTCTTGGAAGAATTATTTGTAGGAGAAATTGCTTTTCACAGAAAAAATTTTTTATTTATAATACAGTAGAGCGTCGTTTATCTGAATCAATTGGGGACTGGGGTTGTTCGGATAACTTATTTTTCGGATAACCGATTATGTACGAAAAAATATATTAACCTATCCCATGTTGAAATTTTTCTCCATTGCATCTTGCTTCGCATTGAATTTTCGTCGATGTTAAGCCTAACAAAGGCTATTGTATCGTTAAAAATTATTTTTTTATTTTGTACAACAAAATAAATATATTGAAAAATATAAAAACAATAAAAAATTATACTTCAGAAGTTAATTATACATAAAATATTTGAGTAGCCGAAGACATAGTCAAAGATTACAGCGCCACAGCACTGGCGAAAATTTAAATTTGTCGACTGGAATTTCTTCGGATAACCGACCTTCAGATAAACGACGCTCTACTGTATATTAAGCCAGTTTTTGTTTATTTTAAGACTTAAGTTTTTATTTATACTGTCTTTACTTTTCATTATTTCTATGGTTTCTTTAAACTTCCTGTTGTATGTTAATTTTCTTTATGCAGTATTTCTACGTTATCTTTATCTATATTACAGTTGTTTATAGTACAATGTTCGTAAAATGCAAAATTTATTCTATTGTATTTTAGGTCTGCTATGTGTTCTTTCAATCTAGTTTTTACTTTCCTTTTTGTTTCTCCTATGTAATGTTTTTTGTTTGTGCAGGTACACAGAATTTTATATACTACACCTTGGTTTTCGGTCGGTATTTGCTGGTTTTTCTTCTGGTTCGAGGTTAACAGTCTGTTCTCCTATATATGAAATTAGAAGATTAAAACGAGCCCTGAAAAAATATAAGACAAACACTAAGATAGGATTGCTACAAAATAAAGAAGAAATAAAATACAATCAGCAATATGAAGAGAACAAATATAAAAAATTAATTAAAAAATTCCAATACCCAACTAAAATAGAACTTAAAAGTTGGAAAGAAGCTCTTATACTAAACAAAACAGGAATAAACCTACCAATAAACATCAAGAATATAAAAAATTAATTAAAAAATTCCAATACCCAACTAAAATAGAACTTACAAGTTGGAAAGAAGCTCTTATACTAAACAAAACAGGAATAAACCTACCAATAAGCATCAAGGAAATACTATATAGAGGATTAGATTTCAACGGCCCAATAAATGGGACGTCTTAAATATAATACCGAATCTAGACAAAATGTGTAATGATCTACCTGAAACAGAATCAACTATAATGAAAAGTAAACTAAGTAATAAAATTAAATCATATATAACTAAAGAAAGAAACAAAACAATAATAAAAGAACCAAGCTATCTTCAATATAAGACCCAAAACCAAGAGCTGAATAACTTCCTAAGAGATAATGCATTAGAAATTATTAAAGCTGACAAATCAAAACAAACAGTAATTGTTAACCAAGAATGGACAAGAAATTGTAACCAATAATAATTTTAAAAAGCTACCTATAAACCCTATAGATGTAATACATTTAGAACTTAAGAAAAGAATTAATAAACTCGAAAAACTTAATAAGATTACTAAAACAGAAAAATGGTTTATACTAAACGAAGAAAATAACCATATACCAAAACTAAATATAAAACTTAAAAAGCACAGGTCAGGAGAAAAAGTAAGACCAATAATAGATTTTAAATATTCAATGTTATATAATCTGGAAAAATTTCTAAAACAAAAGCTTAAAAAATACCACAACTCATACCTTGCAATCAAAAGCACAGACGAATTCATAAAAGAACTAAACAAAATTAATATAGAAGAAAAGTATAGAATAGCAAGCCTCGACATAGTTGATATGTATCCATCAATAACTTGGGATCTAATAGAAGAAAACTTTAATAACCTAGATGTCAACAAAGAAATAATGGAATTTACATACAGAAGTAACTATTTCAAAACCAACGGAGAATACTATACTCAGACAGATGGGATAAGTATGGGATCCGTAATCGGCCCGAAACTTGCTGAATTAATTATGATAGCTATCAATAATATAATATGTAACATACCAGGAATAAAATTCTACAAAAGATACCTTGACGACATCCTAATAATATATGACGAAACAGAAATTAATATAGAAGAAATTAACAAGCAGACAAATAGTATACATAAAGCAATAAAATTTAAAATTGAGACCGAAGATATAACAAGACAAAACATTAACTACCTAGATATTACAATAACAAGATTAAAACATCATCTTGAATATAGAACATTCAAGAAACCGAGCTCTAACCAAGTAACAACAAGATATCAATCAAAAATTTTGTCATATGTTAAATATAATATATATAAAATGGAATACGAAAAAATCATAAACTGGACAAGCCAAGAAGCACATATAAACGAAGACCTAATGGAATTAAGGATGAAGTTTCTTCTAGCAGGATTTCCGCAGAGATTGCTGAAACAATGGGAAATCAGACTTAATGACCCAAGAAACCTATGTAAAAATAAAAATAAACAAGCAACTAAAACAAAATATATTAACTTCTCATATATTAAAGGTCTATATGAACAAATCAGTGCAGAAATAGAAAGAATAAACTACAAATTAGCACCATCATATCAAAAAATGGAGAACAGATTGTTAACCTCGAACCAGAAGAAAAACCAGCAAATACCGACCGAAAACCAAGGTGTAGTATATAAAATTCTGTGTACCTGCACAAACAAAAAACATTACATAGGAGAAACAAAAAGGAAAGTAAAAACTAGATTGAAAGAACACATAGCAGACCTAAAATACAATAGAATAAATTTTGCATTTTACGAACATTGTACTATAAACAACTGTAATATAGATAAAGATAACGTAGAAATACTGCATAAAGAAAATTAACATACAACAGGAAGTTTAAAGAAACCATAGAAATAATGAAAAGTACAGTATAAATAAAAACTACAGTAAAAGTACAGTATAAAAGACAGTATAAATAAAAACTTAAGTCTTAAAATAAACAAAAACTGGCTTAATATACAGTAGAGCGTCGTTTATCTGAAGGTCGGTTATCCGAAGAAATTCCAGTCGACAAATTTAAATTTTCGCCAGTGCTGTGGCGCTGTAATCTTTGACTATGTCTTCGGCTACTCAAATATTTTATGTATAATTAACTTCTGAAGTATAATTTTTTATTGTTTTTATATTTTTCAATATATTTATTTTGTTTGTACAAAATAAAAAAAATAATTTTTAACGATACAATAGCCTTTGTTAGGCTTAACATCGACGAAAATTCAATGCGAAGCAAGATGCAATGGAGAAAAATTTCAACATGGGATAGGTTAATATATTTTTTCGTACATAATCGGTTATCCGAAAAATAAGTTATCCGAACAACCCCAGTCCCCAATTGATTCAGATAAACGACGCTCTACTGTATTATAAATAAAAAATTTTTTCTGTGAAAAGCAATTTCTCCTACAAATAATTCTTCCAAGACAGATTTTAGTAAAAATCAAACCACAAGGTGGCGAACGTCATACGTGGCAACACTAGAGATACCAGCGCAAAAGACAAAAAGGGGGCGGAAGCAGCTATAAATTTTTACAGTTGTATCAAAATCTGCCTGAAAAGGAAGATTCTGGAAGATTTAAACTTTTAATTTGTAATATATACTAGTTTATTTACAAAAGATTAAAGCAGATTTTACATATTTTTAAATTATACAAAGTGTAACCAAAAGGTACGTCTATATATCGTTTATGTACTCATTGTATTTTAGTTGACTGAAGAGAGGCAAAGCCCGAAACGAGTACAAAACAATGTACCGTATCGACTCAACTAATAAAGGAATTTGATGGGAAACTTGCCATGTGTCTTTGGAATAAAACACAATACTAGTGTTTACTATGCCACTATTATAAAACAGGACACAATTTCTAAAAACAAATCAATTTTAAAATGTATCTATAAATATTTTGCACTTTTTTAAAATCATAAGTAGATCACATGAAAAGAACTATAATAAATTGTTTGATCCACTTTTAAATAATTAATAATCCTTGTTCTCTGTATTTTATTAAATTTAAATTAGAATTTTATATTTAGTAATATACATTTTTCCATAATTTTGTTAGAAAACAAATTGAATTTTCCTTTGCTAGCAATTACTTATGAAACAAAACCTACACCTGAACAAGAGAGTAAAGCACTAGAATTATTACTTCCTTCAACATTTTATTTATATGAAAATAAACCACCTTGTCCTGGATGCAGAGGATGTTTAGATTCTGATGATGATTCTGATAACTCAACAAAATCTAGTAAGTATATTATTATTATATACCTTAAAAATATTGCATGTAAGTAAATCAAAATTTATATTTTGTATGTAAAATTTTAGTCATAAAAAATTTACTTGAATAATTTAATTGAATTGATTAAGATAATAATTCCATATGTATATCAAGTTTATACTTAAACATATTTACAATAAATATTTTTCTATCTTTAGTCAGAATGTAGTTATCTTTGTTCAATTGTATGATATTTTTAATATTAAAAATTTCTCCAGAAATATATCAAAGAATTTAACTTAAATAGTTTCATATTCAAATAGTTAAAAAAAATTGCCTATGGTCAATTCCATTTTTCTTACATTTTAAAACTTAAAAATTATTTGTAGTTCTTCAAATTCTGAATAATAATAATGAACTTGAAGAATTAAAAATAGGTTTAATATATTAATTAATACAGTAATGCCCCGACTTACGCAAACCCGGAGTTACACGATTTTCAAATCTCGTCGATTTGTCTTTTGTTTGAGCGCCACGCAACCCTTGATTACTCACTTCCCCCACACTATTGTTCAGCTTACATGTTCGGATGTGTCGCGCAGAATCCACACATAGCTACAATTTATTTTGTGTTATTTATTTCTGTGTTTGTTATATCTACGGAGACTCGAGAGACTCTACTATGTCATCCAAACGAAGTAGAACTAATTCTTCTGCATCAAACAAGAAAAGAAAAACTTTATCTTTAGAATGTAAAGTTAACATTGGGTATGTTCGTAAAGTCGAACGAGTTAAGCGAGAATGAAGTCATCGTTATTCCTATTTCGTTAGACTTTTCGAACGATTCGTTACTAACGCGTTTAACTCGTTTGACTTTACGAACGTACCCATTATTAAAGACTTCGATACAAAAATGAAAATTTGTGAATTGGCAAAGAAGTTTGATCTACCGGAATTGTCGGTCAGAACAATTATAAAAGGCAAAGAAAAAATTCTCGAAGCTGTGAAAAATGCTCAATCTTTAAATTCAAGCATCATTCGTAAACGTCACAGTATTATCGCTGAGATGGAAACAATGTTAAAATTATGGCGTAATAATCAAGTAAATGTGAAAAATTGTAAAATAATATACGCCTAATTTGTTATACATATGTATTATGTAAGATTTTATTAAACATTTTTTTCTAAATTATTGTTTTCTTTAGTCTCCGGCCCCAATTAAAAACTATTTGTATGTATTTATATGTGAAATTATACCCCGACTTACGTGAATTCGACTTACACGGTATCGCTCGGTCCCACCTATCGCGTAAGTTCGGGGTATTACTGTATATTAACACACATGGATGAATAGGTTTAATATATTAAATCTCTAGAAAAAATATAATATGAAAATGTTAGATTTGAAATATTTATTACACAGTGCAGGCCTTGGAACTGATCACTATTCTTGCTATTTTTAAATTAGTCACTTTTTCTCAACTATTTCGGTGATATATCACTGTTTCTCACTTTTTCTGCTGTTATGGCAACAACATTTTTGTGACACCAAGTTGTCACATCTTACTTCATTAATTAATGTTTAAATACTTAAATTGCAACGTCCATAATGTCTTTCTCTTGTTGCATGTTGAAAACTTTGTTATTACATGAGTTCTACGGTCTTAAAAATGTTAGTTATGCAATATCATAAATTTGAGAGTGCACATTCTAATGTTGACAAAAAATTTTTTGAAGTACAGTATTTTAATTCCTTCCAAGTCCCTCACAATTAACCTTCACACCTTCAATTTCAGGTCAGGTGTTAATAAACCAGTCTAAAAATGAAAACCAAGTGCAAAAAATGATAGTGTTTTAATAATGTTTTAAATTATGCTTGTTTATTATTTTTCCATCTTTGTTTTAATAATTTTGATTGAGTAACAAAATTACTGATTAAATTTTTTTTCAAGTTTGTTAATATTTTATAAAATTTGGAAAGTTTATTAAGGGATAATTTAATAAATTTATACGTATCTTTGTAACAGATTACAGGATTTATTGATGAATAATAAATACAGTGTTTTACTTTCTCAGTTTGTTTTGTATATAACATGGGAAAATATTGAAAATGTCAAATTTTATCCTCAGATTTTTGCAAATTGCTGCGTTTTGAGACCTCAAATCAAAAAATGGGCAAAAAATAAATAAATCCATGTGTGTTACATCTATTTCATTTAGTGTCACATGATTGGGTAATGATTAAGAAAACAAAATTTGGTGCAGCTTGTATATAAAGAGCATTGATGCAATTAAATTTCAGTGGTTATATATTGAGAAGTGAGAAGATAGAAAGGAATCACAAATCATAACTCAAGTGGAGTCAGACTTCATGAAGATTTCACTCATTATTTGCATGTATAATTTTATATAAAACTTGTCTCTACCCTCAAAATTAAACTATTCATAGTTTTGTAATTATTAATAAAAGTTGTTTTTTAACAAAATCTTGTAATGGATGGCGCCGCAAACTAATTTTAAATTTGTTCTATTATGTTGTCATGTTTTTGTTGGGAAAGTTGTGCATTTTGTTTCTGGATTTTTTGTTTAATGAACTTCTTGATTTGAGCTTTAATAATTCTGTGACTCTGAAAACTTTTCCTAATTAATAATTTTGACCAATTAAAAATTTTAATTTGCAAAAGTTAAGAAGATAATTCATTGGAAAGAATGGTAAATATATAGGTGATTTTTCTCTTAATTTTTTTTAAGAGAGACATGCCTTCTGCATTCTATATCTTCTAATAGATGCCNGACCAATTAAAAATTTTAATTTGCAAAAGTTAAGAAGATAATTCATTGGAAAGAATGGTAAATATATAGGTGATTTTTCTCTTAATTTTTTTTAAGAGAGACATGCCTTCTGCATTCTATATCTTCTAATAGATGCCTCCTGTGGTTACTGAACTGGTTGACCAGCCCAGTGCTTATTAGCCTATGGTTATGTTCTGCAAAAAATAAAGAAACCAAGTAAAGAATAGATCAAAATATATGGATATAGCAAAGGATAATTAATGACTCCTTTTGCTAGTTTTGGTCAACCAACCAAAATTAGTAAAAGAGAAGAGTGATGCTACACACTCAAAAATGAAACTGGAAATTCCCAAGTTTTGGTTTTGCCAGAGAGATGTCGTCTATTAGAGTCTTTGCTGTAAGACTGCATTTTTGCAAATACGAGAAAAGGGAAAAACACATGAAAACAAACTTTTTAGACTAGAATTCACAATTGTGGCACTGTTTATGCAGAAGCAAGAAATGGATTTCTTGTGCAAATATGTGAGAAATGCACACAAATGTCTAGACCCCATGCGAGCATTAGTTCTAAGTTATGCCACTGTGTAGCCAGAAGCTCGATTTGTGGTATTTTCTGCTTATAATTACAAATTATAATTGCTTTATTCATAATTACTATTTGTTAATAATGAAAATAAGTTATTTTCATTTAAACAGAAGAAAACATTCTCAAACTAAATTATAATGTCAGATGAAACAAAACCCGTAAACGTAAAATAACGTTTGGACTCGACTCCTTACAAATAATGTATTTCATCATGTCCAACTAATTTTATTTCATTCACTGTTTAGTCAATTTTTTTCTTGCTTGGAATTACTATTCTCACTTATTTTGAACTCATATTCTGTTCCAAGGCCTGTCAGCGATATAAAATTTTTTGAAGTAAAATATAAAACATAAACATATTTAATATTCTTATTAATTTTGTTAGGACAGACATTTTTTATATTTTCTGATTTATTTGTTGATTTGAGGCACTAGGTGCCAAATGATTGATCTCATTTTTGCCATTATAATTATCATCAGTACCAATCAGAAGGGGGCAGGGGGGCAACTGCCCCGGGCCCCTCAATATTTGGGGCCTCAACTTGGCAACTCAATATGTTAGACAAAAATATAGGAGAAGGCAAAGTAATTTGCTAAATTTTAACATTTATAAAATTCTAAATTTCTGTAGGAGGAGTCACAGAGGATTGAGAGATATGAGCAGTCCCTGATTGGCTAGAATTATATCACCCTGACCAACCCCAGGCTGGAGGGGATGTTTTTCTGACCATTACTACACATACTCGCACTCAAAAGTTACCCCTTCCTCCATCTCTGAATCCCAACCCCCCAAAAAGGGCATAAAAGCAGAGAACAAGGCCTGTTCAGTCAGTTTTGTGCTAACAGTGTTTTAAAATACTGAGTCGTCGCAAACTACAGCTTTGCGAGAGCAAAACTCTAGCAAACATGTACTAGCACACTTGCGCAATTCCCCTAAAATACTGTCCTGGGCCTCGCATTTTCTCTGAAAGGCCCTGATCATTATAGTTACTAATTATTTGTAATATGGCTAAACTTATTGAGTCAATGAAGATAGGAAATAGTGTCCCAATCTGAGCCTAATTATTTGAGAGTTTGGATAAAATCTGAATTCATATTCTTCACAGCAGTACCATGATACCTTTTAACAATATGGTCAATGCAATGTTTTTAATATTTTCTGGTATGGGTATGAACATAGCAGCTTAGCTTACACTTAAAGTAGGAGCAAATACATAAATTTCATCAATATGATCCAAAAGTTCGGGTACTGCAGTAATGTATGACAACAAAAGCATTTATTTGAAGTTACAGCGTATGAAATTTATTCTATCAAACCATTCTTATGTGTTCAGATTGGTTTCACCCATGTCACGTGATTAAACCACGAGTGCTGTTGTTTTCTTTTGGAGATAGTTACTTTTGTTTTGTGATGTAATAAAAATGGAGTTTGAAGAACAGTGCTGCAACATTAAATTTTGTCAGCGTTTAGATAAAACACCTATAGAGACTTTAAAATTGCTAAGAAAGGTGTACGGTGATTTTATCATGGCAAAATCAAAGGTGTACAAATGACATTGGCATTTTAAAGAGGGCCGAGAATCCATCACAGACGATGAACGCTCTGGCCGACCTTCAACTTCACGGAACAAGAAAAATGTTGAGTTGGTGTCTCAATGTGTTTGCAAAGATCGTCGCCAAACTCTTGAAAAAATCACTGCGGCTACTCACTTATCAATGACTAGTTACCAGCATATTTTAACGGAAGATCTTAACATGCACCAAGCAAAGGGAAAGTCATGATGGAGGTGTTTTTGATTCTCAAGGAATTGTTCATTCAGAATTTATTCCCGAAGGCAGAACAGTAAACAAGGAGCATTATCTAGACCAGTGTTTCCCAAACTTTTTTAGGCCATGCCCCACTTTAACATTTCTAAAATCATCATGTCCCCCCATACATAATTTTAGTTATAAAATTTATTTTTGTTCTTTTTAGTAATATGAATGATAATTTTAAAGTGATTTCTTACAACTGTTGTCAAAACAAAGAAACGAACTTTTAATAAATAAAAAAATAATAGATTTTAAAAATTTACTTTAATGTGATTTGTGGACTTGATGCTTTTTACACAGCGATTTTATATCTGGTTCAAGCTTAGTTAGCTTAAATCTCAAATCTCCACGTTGTGTTATATCCAGACCAGTGTTTCCCAAACTTTTTTAGGCCATNATTTATTTTGTTTGTACAAAATAAAAAAATAATTTTTAACGATACAATAGTCTTCGTTAGGCTTAACATCAACGAAAATTCAACGCAAAGCGACACGCAATGGAGAGAAATTTCAACATGGGATAAATTAATATATTTTTTCGTACATGATTCATTATCCGAAAAATAAGTTATCCGAATCACCCCAGTCCCCAATTGATTCAGATAAACGACACTCTACTGTTTATTTATTCCTTTTTTTTAAAATATTCAATAAAATTTTGAAAAAATTTTCAAAAACTCTGCCATCTTCATACATAAACAGCAATATAACATTTAACGGTCTTTAATATTGTATGATTTTTTGCAAAGTTGTTGATGATTGCACAGGTTCTGTGGTTTTTTAAAATATAATAATTAAGTTGTTTTTTATATGTATTGTGTATATATATGTACAGTACATAATATATAAACACACAGTGTTTTATATAATGTTTTCTGGCAGTTAATCTGTAGAAGGATTCATTATACTCAAATTGAATATCAATTAGCTTTATTCAGACACAATAATGTGACTTCTTTTAAACACTGAATATCAATTAATTTTTTTTTTAACATATGATAATTTTAGAAACGTAAATGAAAATATAATGTTTGTAATATCATCATCATTGATTAAAGATTATATGTACTCACAAATTTTATTTTAAACTAGTTAAAATGTGTAACTTTACTAATAAAATATGTAATTATTTGGTACAAATACTGAGACAAATTATTTTATTTATATTCAACTTAATGTAATTTCTTATCAAATTACATATTTAATTATTCATATAATATTTTGAAAGATTTAATAAATTTATTTTAAAAAATTTTAAATAATTTATTATTACCTTTAATCCTCAGAGTCAAGTCCCTTGGATTCTGGAAAATCAAAAGCAGAGTTACTAGCAAATAATGAAATAAAAAATGTCAATAAAGAGAAGAGCGATTCTGTTGTGGATTCTCAAAGTCCCGATTCCAAATTAAGCGATAGTCTCGAAGAATGCAAAGAAGTACAATCTACAACAAATGCTAATTCAGACAATAATGAATCAAAATTTGTTTTTGGTTCAAACAAAATCTCTCAATTATCGTTTCAAAATATTGCTTCAGAAGGCTCTTCATTTTTAATTTCAAATAATTCAAAAAATGAATCATTTGTGTTTTCTGATGCTGGAAAACCATTATTTGTCCAAAGTACAGCAGATAATAAAGAAAGTAAGAAAACTAATTTTTGAAATCTAGTTTAAATTATTGAAGTTTTTCAAATACAGGTATCCCTTGATTAATGCAGTTAATCCCTCGATGCTACCACATATATCAAAATCACATTAATCAAATATGGTGTCTGTGTTAAATAAAGACAGCTGGTAAAGTCGCTTTAATTAAAACTTCTGCTGGGTATATAAAGGGATTGCCATAATTAATTTTGCACATTAATTAAATTCCACGTTAAGCAAAACTAAATTAAGCAATGGATACCTGTATGTTATACTTAATGATATAATGTTAGATTCTTATAAAAGTGTAATTTAGTTTAGTTGCTATGTTATGTTACACATACAATTTGTTTTATAGAAAGAAATCACATATTTGAAAATATTTTTTATTCAATAAAGTGATTTCTTCTAAAATGTTTTCTTAATATGTAATATAATATTTATAAGATAAAATAAAAAATATACATTTATATATATATAACAAAATAAATGTATTTCAGATGAATCCGACCAAGTCGAAGATAATGCAGATGTGCAGTTTAAACCTGTTATTCCATTACCTGAATTAGTCGAAGTTAAGACAGGAGAAGAAGATGAGATACCCATTTTCCTACATCGTGCTAAACTTTATCGATATGATTTTACTAAACAACAGTGGAAAGAACGTGGAATTGGAGATTTCAAAATTCTCAAGCACAAAGAAAAATGTAAGCATTTTTATTCATACATAGAAAAAATAAAATGATAATCTAAACAAGCTATTATTTATTGTTAATCATCTTTTAATTTAAAAAAATTGCCTGACTTTTGTTCCCGGCCAGAAGCTCATGTATGGTCAATTTGGGTCTCTGGCCACTAAACTTTCCATATCTGATCTCAATTGTTGTGTAATTAAATTCATTTTCGAAAATAATGAAGGACAGACAGACCAGACAAATGTACAGATTAACAATTGCAATTTAAAAATTGCATCCCAATAAATATTTTTGTTTGGATTATTGCATATACTGATCAATTGACAAAAGAATTTTTTATTTAGTTTACAAATAATGCTTTTTTTTATTTTCAATGATGTTTAGATCTAATTTATTGGAATTATATTAATATATCAAACTCTAAGTAATGAATTTTGCAGCTGTACTGTAACTTCTGTACATTACAAATCTTTAGCTGCAATTTGGAACACACTTATTAGCTCTAGAATATTTTTTTTTTTTTTACTAAATATATTTTTACTTAATTCACAGATGTTCAATACTTCTTTGAACATTCCTTAGATTAAAAACATGTCATGAGCATTTTATTTATACTGGATTGAGCATGGTTGATAGAAATTCTGGATAGCTTGATATCTGGATTTATTAAGTTTTCATATCTGATTTTTGAGGGTTTGTAATATCAAAATTTTATGAAATAGCATTACAGATGTCAAAATTTGCAAAATTACATTGAACATGTTTTATCTTCATATCTTAAATTATTTGATTGTGTTGTGAGTATATAATAGTTTTTAAATTAGAAAAGTAACTACGGAGATACTGTTAACTGTTCTCCAGTCAGATAAGATTAGAGTTGTGCAGATACTTATTAGTGTAGCCATTTTATATGAGCATTATATGTCATTTATTGTTAATTTTGATTAAATACAATGAATAAATCAGGATATGTTGTATTCAATTGGAAAAAAAGTAATAATGTGAGAGAGAGATTTTTGATGTCTTAAATTATTTTTCAGTTTTGCTAAAATTTGTTTTTTTAATAGTAGTTTTTGTTCTTCTTTATATTTAATAATTTAATTTATATTTAATTTATTCAAAATAAATAATAAAATATATTTTGACCTGATTTCTTAGGTAGGTTCAGACTTATCTTAAGACGTGAACAAGTGCACAAAATTGCTTGCAATCATTACATTCAGCCCGATTTAGAAATGAATCCAATGTCTACTTCAAACAATGCTCTCTGTTGGAAGACAATAGATTATGCAGAAGGTCAACCTATGAAGGAATTCTTTGCTATTAGGTTTAAAGTAAGTTCAAATTTTTCATTCATTTGCAAAATACTTTTAAAGTAATACATAGTGACTCCTTAATTAATTCAAGGATAATGTTTCAAAACATCTTGCACAATTTAAATTATAAAAACAATGCAATAATACCTATGAGTTGTTTCATCTAGACCAGTGGTTCCCGATTAGTGGTACGCGTACCCCCAGGGGTACGCGAAATTGCATGAAGGGGTACACGCGGCAATCTAAAATCGGTCGATTTAAAATTTAAATGCATGAGATGAAGCAACCAAAAGAATAATGGGTGGACCATCAAAAATTCGGCAATTTACAACACGATGTCAAATGCACAAATTTGTTTATTTATAACTAAAAATATTCTTGAATTTTCATTAAAAAAATGCATTTGTGACAATACCTAAATGAAATTCTTACGCAAGAAACAAAAATTGTACAATTAACACAATTTGTGTTAATTGTAGAGTCAGCGAAGCAGCAATAAAATATTCACTACCATTTTGCGCAACATACCTCTGCGAGAGCGGATTTTCGACCATGACAAACATGAAAATTAAACATCGTCATCGTCTTCAACTCGAAGATGACTCCAGACTGAAGCTGACCAAAAAGCAACCATATTTTACAAAGTCGGACAAAGAAAATCGTGCACATTTGTCGCATTAAAATTAAATAACTTTATGTTATTTTCATTATTATTAGAATTGTATTTTAAAGGTAATAAATGTAAAAAAAAACTTATTCTATGTATTACTAGCTGTCTACCCACAGCTTTGCCCACATTATATCGAATTTTCTCGTGGGAGTAAGATATTTTCTCGCAGTAAAATGTAGCCATGTCCATCTCCAACATGTAAGCTATCTGTGCTAAATTTTATTAAAACCTGTTCAGCGGTTTAGACGTGAAAAGATGACAGACAGACAGGATTTCCTTCGAATTTATAATATTAGTATGGATTAATATGGATTTCTGCTATAAGGGGTACACGAGTTTTAGCTCTTTATTGAAATGGTATGTAAGAAAAACTAATTGGGAACCACTGATCTAGAACATACTATTACAAATAAATAAATAAAAAGTAAGAAATAAAGTTATGCATTTCTAATAATGATATTGTCAGAAAAACAAAATCAGAAAACTGTAATCTGTCAGGTTAACCTTTTGTAGCACTTTACAAATAAGCATGATTGCTGCAGATTATTTTAAATTTACATAATTGAAATGTGAACATTGAGAATTCTCACTGTCTGTATGATAATCACTTTTAAAAGAAATAAAAATACATAGCTGAGATATTATTAATTTTATAGCTATAATATATACATTAAAATTATATTCAAAATACAATATTATTTTAAATTGGTACTTTATTGTTTAGACTCAAGAAACATTGCAACAATTTAAAGAAAAATTTGAAGAATGTAAAAAGTTACTAACATCAAGTTCACAGACAGATCAAATTGAGCCAGGTATGTATTCTATATTAAATTATTATGAGAAAAAAAACATACATGAAAATAAAGATAAAATAAGATAAAATTACATTTTAAACAAAATAAAAAGAATTTTTCCTCATAAGCTTAAATTATGACACATTAATACTAATCAAATGTCTAGTAGCTGAACTAATTGTAGATTGTATTGGATTAAACATTTTCCATTATTCTTAGAGTTTATTGGTTATAAAATAAGGTTGAAAAATATATGAATGCAGATAAATTTTTTTGTCGTAAAAATTGTTTTAATGGTCCTCTTGTTATACTTATATTTGGAAAATTTTTCTTATAACAGTGAGGACAGATGAATCTCTGTGAATATTAATTTAAAAAAAGAAAAATACAACAAATTCTTGGTATTTATATCAAATTTTAATGTTGTTGTCAAAACCATGTTGTTATTTATGTTTGTATACTGGCACAATGTGCCAGTATACAAACATAAATAACATAAAATTTGATGTTTGTATACTGGCACAATGTGCCAGTATACAAACATCAAATTTTAATGTTGTATTTTAGATGCTCAGATAAACAAAAATATAGTTAATAAATATAGGTTTGAAAATATTTAATTTAAAAAAAGAGAGAAAGAAAGATTAGAAATGTCAAAGTTTTTCATATGAAAACGTTTTATATTTTTCAGTTATATGTATATTTTTAATGTAGTTTACTTTTCTGTAGTTGCTATTTCCATATTTACATCAGTTTTGCAGAATGTAATCCTTGTAAATTTGGAGTTTCAACTATGTACTGAATAATATCCAGATTTATAAGAATATGATTCAAATGTTTATCAATTCATTTATCAATATTTTTAAAAATCATATTACATTGAAACTAATCAGAATCAAGTAAAGATTCTTGAAATTCATTCTAAAAATTTGTCAGTCAAATTGCTTTTGGGTGACAGATCAAATATATAAATTATATCAACAAAGGCTGAACAAAGGCTGTTTGTTTTACCTATACGAAGAATCCTTTACAGAAATCAGGATATTTTCTGGCACGATTTAATTATCAGTAGATGAAAATGTGTTATTTCTTTCGTACTAAAACAATGACAAAATGATATGTACATTTTTATTTCATGGATAGAAATTCTATATTGGTGTAAGATAAAATGACCTGAAGGGAGGTCTCCTTCATGACAAACTAGCTGTTACCTGCGACTTCACCCGTGGGGATTTTGAAAAAAAATGCCATTTTATATTCAGTATTTCAACAACCATAGTAATTGTTATATAACACCTACTGCTGAGAATGATGAGAATTGCTGAGAATCAAACAAACTATTTTCAATTTGATCAATTTTCTGGAACATTTACAATTGTTCTATAATCGAACCAATATGCAATAACAAATTTGAATTTAAAATGGTTCAAACATTTGGTTAAAAATCAAAATATATAAAAATATTTATAACAATGTCTGAAATGTTATCAATTTAATATACCCAAGTACTCAATGAAGACTAAACATAGTTGAAAACAAAAATTGTATCTAAAATAGCACAATAGAAGCTGTTCTTCAGGTTAAGCCTTAATCCTCTCCCTCTCCCCTGCAGGGGAATTTTGAAAAATCCCTTCTTAGTGTGTTTTCATGACATACCCTAACTGTGTACCAAATTTCACCTCTAGGTTCAGTGGTTTGCTCTGGGTGATGATGAATCAGTCAGTCAGTCAGGACAATAAATTTTATATATTTAGATTAGATTAAAATTTGTCGTGATTATTGTATATTAATATAGGTTTAGGATATTTTGTAGGATACAGTGTGTTATAGATAATGGTGATAATTTATCTTCTTATCTTTTATTAGGCTGATTTAGATGTTAAAATAATTTGTGAATTAAAAACTTTATTAAGTTTTCTAACAATGTACTAAATAAATTTTCTATTTTTGATCAATGATAATTTTCAGAATAATGTTTCTTTTTGTATATTTGTTTTTCATTGTGATCATTTATTAAATTGTGCTTTTAAGTATTTTGATGAGTAGTTTTTCTGAGAAAATATATCAGAATGAATTATAATTATGATAGTTTTCATTATATTATATTTTTTAAGTAAAATATTATAAATTGTTAATATTTCAGTTCAATCTGATAAAAAAGATGATGATACATCAAGCTGTACAGTGAATAAATCTGTGCTAGATGAGATTTTATCTCAAAGGACTCAAGAAAATGTTAATGTTGATGTTAATAAAATACAAAATGAAGAAAATAATGAAGGAAGCAGTCATGATGGAAAGGATAATGAAGACGACAACAACAATGAAGAAGATGATGATGATGACGACGACGACGACGATGATTTAATTATGTTTGAAAAAAGAGTAACCTTATCTGAACTTGATAATGAATCAAAAGAATATAAGGTAAGCTTCTTAATTTTTAAAGTTATGCAGAAAAATTACATCATTTTGAAGCTTGACAACATGATTTGTCATATTTACTGTATTTATTCTAATAAAAGTGCAGCTAGAAGATAAAAAAAGTTATAGACAGTCTTTCCAACAATAATTATGCTGTCTATTAGAGGAACATAAGGCTTATTGTAAACTGAAAGTTGCACATTCTGTTAAGCATTGTTTGCTGTGACAGATACAAATGATTAGGATGCTACTTGCGCATTGATGAATAAATACAGTACATTTATAATAGTGTGCTTCTACCCTGTAATTTCATTCTTTACATATTAATCCACTTATCTGAATCATTGCAAAATGAATCAGTTCAAATAATTTGAGTTGTATTTAACAGTTTCCTCTAATGGTAAGCACTTTTTAGTAAATATTACAGTTGCAAGCTGAAAAAAGTAAGCACATTATTTATTAGAATAAATATAACTAATTGTAGATAACATAACATAATACATACTTTTATTCCACTTAAAATAAGATTCTTTGCTGTAAACAAAAATAAAATCAAAAGTATATCTAAATATGTATACAGTAATACCCCAACTTACGCGAATCCGGAGTTACGCGATTTTCAAATCTCGTCGATTCGTCTTTTGTTTGAGCGCCACGCAACTCTTAATTACTCATTTCCCCCACACTATTATTCGGCTTACATGTTCAGACGTGTTCGACATATAGCTACAATTTATTTTGTGTTATTTGTATGTATTTATATGCAAAATTATACCCCGACTTACGCGAATTCGACTTACGTGGTTATCGCTCGGTCCCACCTATCGCATAAGTTCGGGGTNAAAACTTTATTAAGTTTTCTAACAATGTACTAAATAAATTTTCTATTTTTGATCAATGATAATTTTCAGAATAATGTTTCTTTTTGTATATTTGTTTTTCATTGTGATCATTTATTAAATTGTGCTTTTAAGTATTTTGATGAGTAGTTTTTCTGAGAAAATATATCAGAATGAATTATAATTATGATAGTTTTCATTATATTATATTTTTTAAGTAAAATATTATAAATTGTTAATATTTCAGTTCAATCTGATAAAAAAGATGATGATACATCAAGCTGTACAGTGAATAAATCTGTGCTAGATGAGATTTTATCTCAAAGGACTCAAGAAAATGTTAATGTTGATGTTAATAAAATACAAAATGAAGAAAATAATGAAGGAAGCAGTCATGATGGAAAGGATAATGAAGACGACAACAACAATGAAGAAGATGATGATGATGACGACGACGACGACGATGATTTAATTATGTTTGAAAAAAGAGTAACCTTATCTGAACTTGATAATGAATCAAAAGAATATAAGGTAAGCTTCTTAATTTTTAAAGTTATGCAGAAAAATTACATCATTTTGAAGCTTGACAACATGATTTGTCATATTTACTGTATTTATTCTAATAAAAGTGCAGCTAGAAGATAAAAAAAGTTATAGACAGTCTTTCCAACAATAATTATGCTGTCTATTAGAGGAACATAAGGCTTATTGTAAACTGAAAGTTGCACATTCTGTTAAGCATTGTTTGCTGTGACAGATACAAATGATTAGGATGCTACTTGCGCATTGATGAATAAATACAGTACATTTATAATAGTGTGCTTCTACCCTGTAATTTCATTCTTTACATATTAATCCACTTATCTGAATCATTGCAAAATGAATCAGTTCAAATAATTTAAGTTGTATTTAACAGTTTCCTCTAATGGTAAGCACTTTTTAGTAAATATTACAGTTGCAAGCTGAAAAAAGTAAGCACATTATTTATTAGAATAAATATAACTAATTGTAGATAACATAAACCAAATATGATAAATTATATTTACATATGATTTGAATTTATGTGAATTAGTTAAGTTTTTTTAAATTTCTGCTTTGAAAATTTAAGATATTAATAAATAACAATTATACATATAAAAAATTGTATTTAAGAAAATGCTAAAAAAAGATTAAGATTTTAAGAGAGATGAATTTTTTATGATTAGTAAAGTTATACATATAACTGAAGCCTAAATTTTATAATCAACTAGTTTGTTTTGACCAATAATAAAGTAACAAATTTAGTTTTAAAAGTAGGCAATTATGTCACCATTTAAAATAAATTTTTATACTTTTCACATGACTTCATATGTTCAAGTTGCCCATAGGTATTGTTTATAATCAGACATAAGTTTTGTAACTTGTCATCTTTTACAAATTCTGCCAGAGACATGATGCAGACTATGTTTACCTCAACTTCAAAAAAGATTATAATAAAACGGTCTTATTACTCTTGAATGTTTGTCTCATTATGCTAATACTTATATTCTCAAAACAAACTGTTTTTATACTCCTTTTTCTAGACTTCCTACCTAAAAAATGATCCTCGTTTTGTATATATCAAGCATCCATAACTGAATGCTTATGAAAATTTGCTTTATCTTAACTACCAAAATATAAGTTGTTTTGTAAGAAAATAACATATGATACCTTTATTCAGCTTTGTTTATTGTTTCATATAGTTCTTGATTTCTAGGGATTATTAATAGGGAAGTGTCTATTGGCATTTCTTGTATGTTTATAAATAAAATAAAATAAAAATATAGTTTTAACAGTTTATAGTCACTATTATCTTTTCAAGAATTAAATATTTACAATTGACAGAAGGAAAGAATGCTTAAATTTTTCAAATATAAACATTGAAATTAACTAATTTTGTTCAGAATTACTTAATGAATGTGCCTATTACATTCCTAGGTATTTTCATAATTGATACTTTTTCCTAATTATATGTCATATAAAACAGCTATAATAGCTGTATTTTGTGGATGTTATAACTGTTTTATGTTTTAATCTTCAATGGTTATGGTATTAGTATAATAAATTTCATATTTTTTATATTAGAAAGGAGAATTTTTAGCATAGTTATCTAATACTTGTATTAATTGCAATATGATATCAGATACATTCTAAAAAAATTATATACATATCTTGTATCATTTTATATATAAGAGAAGACAGAGGAAAAGATATTTATAATTAAAAGCACATCAATCAACTTCAATAATAGTTTTGAATATGTAAATGGCAAATGTAAATCTAAAATTATATTGAGAATATGCATATGTTAATTTTTATATTAATAAATAAAATTAGAGAAGAAATTTTGAGCTTGAGAAATATAATTTGCATGCATTTTACTATTGAGTGTTCAGATTTTTTTAGTGCAGTAGTCTAGAGCATATAGTAGTACAGTACATATTATACTAGAGTTAAACCTTATACTTTATTTATGGTATTTATTTTTTTATTCCCTGCCAGGTGTGGTTGGTTATCTAAACATTCTGCCTCAATTATTTTGGATAATGAATGCTCTGCCATATATACCAATTAAATTATATTATATATGTTATTTATAAAGTATTTTGATGAGTAGTTTTTCTGAGAAAATATATCAGAATGAATTATAATTATGATAGTTTTCATTATATTATATTTTTTAAGTAAAATATTATAAATTGTTAATATTTCAGTTCAATCTGATAAAAAAGATGATGATACATCAAGCTGTACAGTGAATAAATCTGTGCTAGATGAGATTTTATCTCAAAGGACTCAAGAAAATGTTAATGTTGATGTTAATAAANTAGCCATTGGGAATGGGAATTCTCCGTATACTCTATGATGATACAATTTATGGTGCGAGAATTCAAATGTATGATGATGTACAAGACTTAAAATGTGATCACGCCATTGCCGTACAAACATGTCTGAGGCATGAAAAAACTCGTGCCTTCTGGGCAGCTATAGACATAAGTGTGGAGCCTCCGTGTAAAAGACATTTCTGTGCTCTCTTTAGTTCAATAAATGCACTGAAGGAGTTTATAAAAATATTTGAAGAAGTAAGTAAATCTAATTTTAATATATTGATTTTATTTTTGAAATTAAATTTAAAGTATATCAATAAAAACAACAGAAATTCAACACTAATAGTAATTTGATAAATTAATTAAAGTATTATTGCATTAACAGTTTTTTAAAGTAAAATTTTAAGATAAGTTGCTGTAGTCTTTGTTTTTTCGTATGGAATTATTGTGTGTGTGTGTGTTACACTGAAGTTTTTCATTTTTACGTATATTAGTAAGTACAGTAAACACTCAACTTGCTTTCTTTTTCTGTACAAACCACTAATAAACAAACTGTCTTATTTCCCATGGGATCAGCATTATAAGTAAAATTATATTCCAGAAGTAATGCTTAAAGTATAAAATGCCACATGAAGAGACCAACAAATATATGTGACTTTTAAATATAACATTTCATACATTTATAACAGGGATTGTAAAGTAGCAGGTTTTCAGTATTATATTGCTTATTAACTTTTTAACATTCACTTAAAACATTTTGTTCAGTATTCAAAAAGATGTGTGCAACAATTGATTACAGTGTTGTCACGCTTTCAAAATTGCTGACACGGACATTTTAAAATTAGGATGTTATACCAAGGCATGTGCCTTGTAGGAAATCATATGAAACATGCGCAATGTCATTTTACAGTCAAGAACTGAACAACATACATGCCAGTTTTAAACCGGACTATGAATTTAAAAATGGCCTGGTGGAAACACTAATTGATTAAGATAATTATCATCATAGAAATTTATCTATTCTTTGTCATTTATATACAACTAGCTTACCCGTCGTGCATTGCTGCAATCTCAGAAGAAAGGAATTTAAGCAAACTCGTTATGACAAAATTCAATTTACATTTTATAATTTTTATTAAAACTTATTATTATTACATTATTATTTCAAGTCGATATTAAAATTTGAAAAAGGGGGGATACCTAGATCGGTAAAATACGCGAATTTCCTCCTACAACTTTGGTTGTTGTTCGCGGTACAGTTGAGGTTTTAACGAAGTTCGAGCGAATACATAATTAGCAAAAAAGAAAGTTGAAATAAAGTGATTAAACAAAAATTATTACAAATATCGTAAATAACAGTTCACAAATGCATATATAGAGATATTTTTTGAAGGGGGAAATGGTCTTCACAATTTGAAATCAATCGAACACACTGTGCTCAAATGCTCGTGTAAACGCGCGCCATCTATCGTAGGATAAATGTACTATGCCAAAAACCTTTGCGGGAGTGTGTTAAAAAACTTTCCGAAGTTTTATGGCAATCGTACTATGCCACAAACCTTCGCCGGAGTATATTAAACAACTTCCCAAAGTTTCACGGCAATCGGATAAACGGTATGGTATGGTAATGCATGAAGGACAGACAGACACACACACACACACAGACATGCATTCATTTATATATATATATATATTATATTATATTATATTAGAGATATTTGTATTGAGTCAATTAATATCATTGTAATAAAGAACATTGCATTTTGTTGCAAATTGGATAAAAATGCAATGAGAGCCTACAAATTGGCAAAATGAAGTTTTGGCAATGATGCTTTGTTGCTTGGGTGTTTCTGAATCATTCTTGAAAAATTTTGCAGTATCAGCTAGATCATGGGGAGAACACATGCTATGAGCAATCAAATAATGCAATAGTTTAGAGACTCAGAAATGTTTTCAAATTTTGATGGAAAAGATTGAAGAATGACACTGCATATGGTCAGTAGCAACAAATGACAACAAATTTTTGTACAGTAAATATCAGGATTGCAGAACTAAATCATTTCCTCTGTTTCTTAAAGATTATTCCTTGTTTCTTAAGATATCTTTCTGTGTCCTGATTTTGAGGATAGTGACACTAAATATGTTACGACAGTAACTGAAATGGATAAGGTTGAATAAACTTGAAAATGTTTTGGATTGTTTTCAAAAGTGGTCAGAAACATTTTACTTGAAGAAATGAAAAAATATATGAGAATGCATGATGACTTTGTAATAAAATTTAATATGTTTAATATTTGCATATGTTATATCTTTCTGACAGCTTTACGGTTTTTATCATATATTTAAACTATACTTAAACAACTTTGTTTTCTAGGGAAAGCAGATGGCAATTGAATCAGAAATAGTAGAAGAAGAAGATGAGGAATCTATGTTTCGGCATCTCATTCAGGTTTTTTAACTTCATTTAATTACATTAATGCAATTTTCAAACAGAAAAAATAAGTTTGCATAAAATATGGAAGCATATTAGACATGTTTTAATTAAATCAAAATATATTTCTAGATCAATTTTAAAATTATATTTTTAGTTCCATATTTTTTCCATAGTTCCATATTATAAGATAGGTTAATTTATAGTAGAAGACACTATTAACAGGACATATCAGTTGTTTATCAATGAAAAAATTTTTAAATTTAATAATGATGAAAAATTAAATGATTCTAGCTAATACAAGTTTTAGAATGTTTACAGGTATTTATAATACAAAACAACCCAACTTAAGATATCCTTAATGATACTCCATCTTCTAGATCAATTTTTCTTGAACATTACTTATTTTATTTCATAAACGTAATAAAATAAACCCTGAGTTTATATTAAAATTATAACAGAAGTACATCCTAGAACTGAATTTCTCAAAAGGAACATCACTGCATTATCAGGCAAATTTTGATTAGATATACAGTAGAGTCTCTGTAATAGGACCAGCAGGGTTGGATTACTGGATTTTCTGTGTGCACGCTGTACAGTAGAAAAAACATACTTGATTCACAGATTAGTTTATCATATTAAATACAATTGTAACTGTTTTGCCAACCACACATGCAGCAAACAACTAGTGACTGACAGTACACACACACCTCAGTCTTTCTCTGTTGGAGACATCAAGTGGTAAAACAAAAGTTTCATTTGCACTGCACTGCCCTGCATCAGTGTGTCAGATTGCCAATGTGTCGGACTGGCAAGTGACTACCTTAATAACAGGGCTGTGGAGTCGCGTAAAAATCTACCGACTCCGACTTTTCCTTATCATCCGACTCCGACTCCGGCTAAAACATCAAAACTCCACGACTCCGACTCCACAGCCCTGCTTAATAGAGACTACTGTATTATTTATAATAAAATAATATTTTCAGGCTGAAAAAGTTCAATTTCAGTAAGAACTACAATATTTATAAAAATCAATTTTACAAAATTTTAGATTTAATTATATGTATTTAAACTTTTTTTAAATTCAATTTTGAAGACTTTAAGAATAATTGCATCTGTTTAGTTTTTTCTCAAGTTGCTTAATTCTGGAGGGGGGTACTCTGATATGATTTTTTAAAAATTAATTTTTATGAATATTTTAGTTCTTCATAATTTTCTTTGATTTGATAAATTAAATGTTGGTAGGTTAACAGAAAGAGCAGGTAAAAATTTTCATTGATCTATTTCAAATCATTTTTTTATTAAATGGAAATGAAAAAATTTTGTCTTTGAAACTTGAGTTTTAATTGACAAGAGTTTTTTAATGCAGTATTAAAATTTAATTTTTCTAACTGAGAAAATTCAATTTTCAGATGCAGCATGGAAAAGAGTTGCCTTAAAATCAGTTTCTGTGATCGTCAGGATAAGTTTCAGTTCTCTAACATTTGTAGGCGACAAGACACAATGGATGTAAGAGAATCGACTCGAAATAGCATAACATCTCTGTATTATATATATATTAAAATAGAATTTTTTATGAGTAAAACTAGTATGAAATTTTATCAACATGTAAATAATTTTGATAAAATGTGTCTCCCTTCCTATCATCAACTTCAAAGGCTCCTTTAAGACATTATTATTATAAAAAATGAGAACAAATGTGATCTGATCTATTACTATTCCATCCGTTGTACATTAATTTTCAATGCAAATAGAATGGGAAATATATATATACACATTTTCCATTGCATGATGTCAATGTTTTTCCATTTGTTTGTTCTATAAGTAAATTAATTTACTTAATTTTGATTTAAATAAATAGTCTTAGTGATTCTTGAATTTGAGTGGTATGTTGAATCTCAAGAATTCTACCTCAAGATATTAATCGGAATAAATTTACTTACTGCTTGAAATTCCTTGTATAGCACATAAACACAATGTAAATTTCTGTTTCTGATGACCCAGTTTTTAATACCAAAAGTATGTGCTCGGTAGTAAATGATTCACATGCTAACTTACATTGAGAATTATTTAGAAAAATGTCTACAATTAACCATATTCCCTCTATCTGAATCCTATCTTCACTTAAGAAAAATGATAAGAAAATGTCTAAAACATGGGAACGTATTAAGCTTTAAAGTGGGTGAAAAAATTGTGTCCTCCACACTAACAACCATACACATATTTTAAAAACCCGAATTTTTTGCATTTCTGGGCATTTCAAGGTCCCAAGTCAAAAATGTAAAAGTCTTGGGGGCATTTTTTGACCGATTGCCATGTTTTCTCTCTGTTTATATATATAAACGTTCGGGAAAGTAAAGATCAGTGGTAAATGCTGTTAGTTATATAGATGCGATAAATGGCGAACTACTTTGAGTACTGGATGCAATAAGTGCGTTCCAGTGCATATTTTTTTTTTTTTTTTTCGTGTTAAGCCAAATGGCAACATGGTGGAAAACCAGTTGTTCGTTAGACCTGTTTTGTGTTGCATCAGTTTCAACAGCTTGACTTTAGTTATTTTGCTAACTATACTTCGTGCAGCGAAAGAGTAGACACGACTCAGCCCAGGTAGAAGGAGACACGGATCTTATCTCTTCCAGATTTTTTTTTTTCGTTTCTAAAACGTAAAAACGTTTTATATCTTCTTTATCATAATTTTATTTATATTTTTTGTACAAATTTGATTACTTTTAATTCTAACGTTAATCACACGTCACTTTTCATCCCACATATAGCCTTCTGGTTCTTTTCACAGTCTCATTTCATCTCTCTCATCCGACATAGATCCTTCCACCTCTGGGTGACCCGGTGTCTACTTTTTGTTGCGTGGACTATAGTAGATGAAGATCAGAATACATTTTCTATCAGAACTACTATTTAAAAGCAGGGAGCAGGAAAGAAAGTCCTTATTGGTTAAAAAATTATTGTTTACAAAGAAGGAACTATTCAGAGAATGAATGATCCCTGTTTCCAGTAGTCAAAAAATATATATATATTAATTATAGAGTTGTTTCTAAAATAAGAAACATTCGAAGATGTTTGTTGTGTATTTAACACAGCAAGAAAGGAATACTTGAAATAAAGATTTTTAATTTAACCGAATGGATATTTTATACTTGTATGCATATTAATTTTAGATTTTTTCAATGTGTTTATTGATTCATAGCTATTATGCATTTATTGCTAACAACGGATAATAAGTTAAAAATCTATCTCGGGATCTATACGAAGGCCAAGTATTATATCATTTGAAAGCAGAATCTCCGAATCTACGTTGGGTTTCGTTTTACGCCATTTTTCAAATTAACATTACACTGACTAGCATTATCTCTCCACTTGGTGCTATCTGGGTTGACACTAGGATGCTCTGAACTTACTGAAGGACAATGTAAACGACGCAGATTTTTGTTTAATCAACCAACTTGAACAATTCGTTGTATACTATAGTTGTGCAGCATAAGAGTAGCCACTAGTCAGCCTGCCGAAAGTAATACTAATGCTTAAATTATTAGTATTAATGCTAATACCTCAAACATTTCAATGTTTGTAAACTAAGGTAATTAGCAAAAATATCATCAACTCTGTTTAATAACTGATTAGCACGTGGTATACATTCACTCTTCAATGGGCAATCAACAATTGGGCTGCCATTTCTATAAATTGAACAAAATCGACATCGAAAAACAAAAATTAATTTCAATGTGTGTGAGGCTGTACTTCGGTCACCAGTTGCTGAGATTGTAGTCAGGTTTTCACGTAAGAGCGAATGAGATAACTTCCGATGAAGCGAATTTCTCGGGCTGAGGTATGTTTTTGATAGTACGAAAAATTAATAATGAATATCGCAACACTTGTTTCTGACAAATCGCTGACCGTGTGAAACCATCTTAAAAACTCTTGGACAATCTTCAGGATTTCCAGGGAGAAAACAAAACGAGAGGTTCAATGGCATCCATGTTTGTTATATTTTTACAACGAATGGGCTTGGCTGCGCAAACTTTATAATTTATTATAATTGCTAATGTATGAATAAAACAAAATGAATTATGAGAATCAATGGTATAAGAAAACATTCGTATAGAAGTCTGTAGAAAAGAAAATTCAAGTGTAAGATGTGTTTCGTGGTCTGTTGCTTAATTCAATATACAGCATCTTGAACAAAATTATAAGGTAAAGACAAAAACCTATTCTATCATGCTGGAATAGGTTTTTGTCTTTAAATATTTTACAATAATCCAGTTCAAGATAAATATGAGAAAAATATACGGTCCAAACGTAACTAACGTCGTAGCTAGGGTCTGGCAAACCAGATTAACGTAACGTCAATTATCACTCGGTACAATAGCAAACAAACAATTGAGTACCTTTTGGTATGTGTTTATTGCTGAGTTAGAAAGAGGACAAATTAAGTGAAAGAAGTAATGTAATAAAACGGGAGCACATTTCTGCTGCTATAGGACATTTGAAGACCATTGCAAACATCTTCCTATAAAACCCAGCCGAATATGGAACAAGAAAGCGGTCGGGAAGACCACCAATATAGACCAAGCAACGTCTCTTGCACGTTATGACAAATGCCTCTTCGGAGATAACCTACATGAAAGATTCGAAAGTGCCATTAACTCCAGGACAGTCCAAATTCTTTAATGTCCACAAAAATTAAAATGCTGTCCAGAAAAAAAGCACGTGTCGTTGATCATCAGCACGTAACTTTCGACGAGAGACGGAACGATGGTTTTTTTTTTCCAATGAGAAGTTTAACTTTGATGGACAAAGATGGCTTCTGATATTACTGGCAACAAGCAATGTTTCTGAAAGGATAGGTTTGGAGGTGCGTGAATGACTGTCTGGGATGCATTTGCCGGTGGTGTTCTACACGAATGACTTTATAAATCAGGAAAGGCTTGTGGAACATTCTGCGACGGGTAGCACTGAGCACTGGCTTAGATGTAAAAATAAAAACTACAACGATTTAAAGTGAAAACAATTCGTGGACGGGTTTGTTAGAAGTGGAATTCTGATAATGGGCATTCTTAAAATGGGTTTTACCACAAACTAGACGTTATTAAATCGTAAATTTCAAAAATGTAACAATTACTGCGACGAATACTTTTATAAACCCTGGCAACGCCGGATGTAACAATTTAAAAATAAATTAGTTGTATTGCGCATAAATCGAAATAAAAAGGGACTGAAAAACGGGAGAAATTCAACAAAATTACTTATTCCCCATTACTTTAAAAACAAAGAATTCAACAACTCAGATTTTTCAAATTAAAACTATTTATTCTCGTCTTTTATAATAAGAATTTTTATTCTGTTTTTAAAACATTGTCGACAAAATATTTTTGCATAGGATCTGATTAAAACAGTAAAAAGTTCGAGTGATGATTTCAATCACTGCAGTCCATTCAACTCTAAAGCAGAAAAAATACAATATAAATTTTTAAATTATTTTTATCCTTCTGTACATTAAAACCTTCCTTACGCATAAAATATTAAAATCTGCAGAGTATACAAAATTACGCGATTTTTTACATTCATAGTTTAACGCAAAAATCGATTTTATTATATGGATAATCTTCTTCGGGAATATTCGAAGAATAATCAAACAAACTGGGAAGAAAAATTGTAAATATGTGGCATAAGAAGACCTCTTTGTTAAACAAGAAAGAGCAATAAAGACTTACTTTAATGATTCAATTTTCCGAAAATTTTCTTTACCTTCGAAGAGTAAATGTCTCGAATTCTCCTTCATCACTTCTAATACTTTATCAGCGATATTTTCCAGCATATTACGTGAACTCTTTCGAACTTTTAAACTTGAGTCCCTCAATACCACATCTAAAGAGAAAAAGGATGGCTTACGTGACGTCTAAAAAGGAAATGCATAAAAGTTAAACAATATAAAAGTACCGTCTTGTAATGTAAATTGGAGTTTCTTAACGTGAAATTCTTTTATATTTTCTGTGCTGTTTTTAATGCCGTCTCGAAAATCGATCAAACTTTTGATTAAATTGAAGAAGAGAATATCTGTGGGCTTCATGTTATATAGAAAACAATTGTGTAGTCTAATCGTTCGGTAAACGTAAAGAGATCTCTCGATGAGTTGCATGATAGCACCGTATACGTGTGACTTCAATCTCACATATCCCTATAGAAAATTTTTAAAAATCGAGATTAACAAGCAAAATCTTTATACAGTATAAAATTTTTTAATTACAGCATTTAAAACATGTGAAATTTTAAATAATTCTCTGTAAATGCCCCATTACAATAAAATTCCAATACATTTAGTAGTAAAATGAAAAATAGTCCAGCAAAGAGTTGCGTAAATTTTTTATTACGTCCAATCTCACACTATCTCCCCACCTCCTAGACCAGGATGGCGAACTTTTTTGTGTTCGCGTGCCATATTGTAAGCATACTTAGCTTTAAAGATGTTTATGCGTGCCAAAGTTTCAGACTTCGAATAACGATATTTAAATAAATTAAACGAATACGCTTTAATTAGAATAAATGTAAAAATGCTGATTGAAAAAAGGATGATCAGGTAATAAACCGAAAAGATTATTGAAAAAGACAGAAATCGTATGATACATTACGTGCCAGATGATTTCTTCTTACGTGCCACTTTGGACACGCGTGCCATAGGTTCGCCACCCCTGTCCTAGACCTTTAACCACCAAAATTTAATAGAATCAATCCCACTAATACACAAACCTCCCCATAAAATTTCAGAAAATCTTCATCAAAAAGAAAAAGCTAAAAGACTTGTGGTGTATGTTACAGAACTTTTTTAAGGAAAAAGAATGAATTAAGTGGGGAGAACACTACACGATTTTGCTACCAAACGTGGTCTTTTGGCCGATTTTGACGTCACAAAATGTGTTGCCCGACAAGAAAGTTGGCCAACACATCCTGTTGCCACCAACAACCAACCAGTGAACGTCTCTCGCGATATTAGCGCCAATTTATAAAGCAGCGACATCCGTCGTCGCGATCAAGATGGCCAAAAACACCCGAGGAAAATTCTTTACAGTTTAAAATATGTTACAATTTTAATTAATGAAAACTGTAAAGTGAAATAATGCGGTTTAAATTAGTCTCTCATCTTTGTAAAATGAAAAAATAAATAAAAAGTTATACCAAAATATAACAGTATAATTTTAGGTGTAGAAAATTTATTAGCCTTAATATAGTAATCTTCGTTAGTTATTAAAAAAAAACTAATTTTTGTTATGATGACGTAATATTTATGTTATCCCCATTGTAAATGCTTAATCAATAAAGTTAATTATTAATTGATAATTGTCTTATCAATAATAAATTGAATGTTGTTCAAAGTAACATCTCAAAGCACATACCTTTTGTTTCTCACTTAAGCGGCGAAAACTTGGAAACAAATTTAACCATTTATAATAATATTGCTCCATATATATCAGGCATTGAATTAACTCCAATTCCTGATTGAAATCCTAAAAAAAAAAAAAAAAAAAAAATGAAAGTCGAGAAATTCAAAAATATACTGTAGTAGATATACTTTATTTAAACTTGCCGAAATATTGAGGAATAGGTATTGATTATATGCTTTACTCATAATGTGTAATATAATATAATGTATGTATTTAAGAGTAGATTTTAGCCATTAAACTTAAAGTATTTTCATTCAATAGTATATAGAGGAATATGTTACAGTCGAAACGCAAATTTTTCACGCTGACGTTTCAGAGCAGGAGGAAGAGACCACAGCAATTAAAAAAAAATTCTAACAACGAGTTGCTTAACTTTCCCGGCAACATTTGGTAGCGTCATATGTTATAAAAAGTTTTTAAATAAAGTATTATATTTTTAACTATTATAAAATGAAAAAAAAAGCTTAATTTTGAGGGTAGGGATGGGGTTTTATTAAATTGCAAATGCCAATAACGAGTAATCATTAAATTAGACCCTACTCGAGATATGATACGACCCCCTATATCTCCCCACACCCTTGAACTTTAATCACCAAAATTTAATAGCATCAATCCTTTTAATAAACAAACCTCTCTGCCAAATTTCTGAAAATTTCAACAAAAAGCACGGGAGTTATTAAGCTTCAAACAGGTTGAACAAAATCGGGCCCCCACAGAAAAAACCCGAATTTTTTTCTTCCCGCATTTCTTGACATTTTAAGGTCCCGAATCCAAAAACGTAAAATCTTGTAATCGTACATATCTTGCAATTAAACTGCGTAAATTCTCTATATTAACCTTGGAAGAGAATTTTGTATCTTATACAGCCATGTATTTTCTTTAAATGTTTTAAAACATTTCATCGAAATGTAATTGTTATTCTACATACGTCGCACTTGAATAGAACTTATGAAAAGACATCTGTTGTTCTATGTAGGAAATTGTGTCGAAGGAACAATTCGTGGACCTATAAAAGAAAATCCACATATTTAAAGGACTGATATAAGTAGTATCATCTTTGATTTACTTGGATTAAAAAGCATATTTAAATTTATACAAAAAATATGTGAAACTGAAGCAAAACACAGGTCTACGTGTCTTTTCAATTCAAATATCTTAATGGAAATCTGTTTCACTTCCACGATTCAGCTCTTTCAGTATCAAAATTGAGTTGTTATCAAAGTTTATTAATATTTACCAAAATGTTCTCCTTATACTGAAATATATAAAACTTTTTTCAATTAATTTGTAAACAATTTTCTTTTTCAAATTTTATAAGAATTTTAAGTGATTTATTTACCTGAATTTCTTTTTCACGAGCAGCTAAGCATCTTTGAATAAAATTTGGATGGTCTAATAATAAACATCAATAGTTTCATGCTATGACTTTTCCAAGTCCATTTTATAATTTATAATCGTAGTTCCACTTACCTGTGATTATTTCGTAATTTATTTTGACATCGTAGCATTTGTTTAAGCGACAAAATTTGCACAATTCCTCATCACCGACGATTGACCTGTCGACTGAACATTTTCCGCTTCGAGTTTTACAGCAGATTATTTCTTTTGTTAGAACTACATTTAATTCAAAAAACAGACTGCACGAAACACAAGTGAATGTTCCATAACGATTTGATATTTCAAACCCAGTATTACAAATTTCACATGTATTTCTTATAGGAGATAAATATAACACAATAGCTAGAAAAAAAATGAATGTTTAATTAAAATTTTTGTAGTAGTAGTATTATTTTTTAAACAAAACAATATTCTTACAAGTAAACTTTGAATCAAAATATTTCGTGATTTAAGCAGTCTATGATATATATTACCATTTGCTACCTCATAAACATTGATCTGTACATATCATTTTCACGTACCCACTAATGATTTTTACAATTTTTCATTAAAACAAAAAGAGGACAAACAGTATAAATGGCATTAGCATATGCCAAATGGTAAAGTAATATTGTATCTGAGAAATTGGTATATTGCAGTGGCAAGTATGATTCATCACTATCAATCGAACTCTAGAAAGTAATTAGACTAAATCGAGTTTTCATTCCTGATATTTATATGAGTGTTTCTCAATCTTTGTCTAATAGTGGCACCTCCAACATAATCTTTTTCTTGTGGTACCCCTACTTTATCAATGTAGAGTTTTTAGTACTTTTAAGGGAAAGTAGAACGTTACGTTCTTCTTTCTATTACCAAAGCATTATTTTAAACACAAGTGTTCCGGTGCTGCTCGGCAGTATCTTCTTTGAGACCCACCAGTTGCCGAATAGATAAAACCATTTAAACACTAATAGTTGATCACTGGTTTGAGCCTCGTAACAGGCTGGCCACGTGGAGTTCACGTGTCTAACGCCTAAATACAAAATTTACCCGGGCTACACTCCTAATCAGATCATACAAGTATTGCGTTGTATTCTCACATTAATCCATTTCGCAGCATTCCGATCGAAAACCACTGCCTTAGAAAATAATAACTGCAATAATAAACTATATTGAATTATATACACGTTGAAATTTTGATAGATTTGTAAATGACTGCTAACGATTCAGCTTTATTATCTGCTGGTTTACTATTAAAAACCTGAGTTAAAAATTTATTCGAATACAAAATAAAAGTCAAATACCTAGATACAGTACAATAAACATTTTTCAGGTATTTAAATTTGGTTGACGTCAGGTTAAATCAAAAAATAAATAAATAAATAAAAAGTACTAATCTTGGTAACTATTTTTCTGAACAACTTAAAGTACAGAATCTTTGTATAAAAGAAGTAACCGAAAATAAGCATCTGCAAGAATTGTAATTTCTCTGTCTTGAGGCTCAATTCAAGCTCTTAAGGACATTGAGATTTTTGATTTTTTATAATCATTAATTTAATTAAACGTAAAAAATACTTAAAACTGAAAAAAAACGAAAGAAATGCGTTAATTTTGAAGAAAAAGCTTCAAATTTTATTTTCCTTTGTCTCGCCTTTCTGTGAAATTTAACACCGATGAGTCATTGTTTACACAGCTGGATGACCTTGAACACAGCTGGAGTCGGATTTCCCGGGACATTCTCATAGACGTCTCGGGAGGAGAAGGGTTTAAAGTAGGGTGACTTGAAATTAAACCTATATTTTTAAATATTTTTAAAAAATTATAATTTTTATTGCGATTTCCGACCCCCGTAATTAATTAAACATATATATAATAAAATCTATTAATTAAAAAAATTAAAAAACTATCGGAGGTCGTTTTTGACATCAGAAAGCAGCTTTAAATAACTTTACCGAAGGAAAATCGGTGCACTACAACTTTAGAACGATTAATTAATTTTGATAAAAAACTCCCATTAAAAAAACAAAAAAGCAATTAAGCCTTAATCGAACCTTATCAAAGGCTCATTAAAATCGCGATAAAATTCTGAAAAAATTTGGGGACCTAAAAAACATTCCAAAGATTCAAAAAAAAAAGTTATTAAAAAAAATTTGGGGGCCCAAACGCCCGCGTTTTTCGTAACGCTATGTAACTTGCCCGAGATATCTCGGGTAATGGGCTTAAGGGTACTAATGATACGTTTTGGTACAGCATACTCATAGGAAAACAAAGTCAAAGGAACCATACTTCTACGAGCGACCCTTTGCGAGATATAGTCCCAAAATTACTAAGACATATTCCTATGCTTTTTTCCTATATTAATACGCGATTATTTCCATTCTTCGAGTGAGTCACACAAGAAATTCATCTCGCATTTCAAATCAGTGAAGAAGAGTAACGTATGCTACAGCATTCATATTTCAAACTTAACATAGAACTACCAAAGCATCCGAAATGATTCAAGTTATTAAAAAAATAATAATTTGATCGCAATTAAAATTAAAATTTAGTTTAACAGTTAATTTGCCATTTAAATAAATTCAAAAAGAATTTAAAATCTTTAAAGACATAACATTTTAATTGAATAAAAGTCAATATATAAAGTAATAAATCAGAGGAATATAAAATCTCTCTTCGTTCATTTACAAACTTATAAAATTATTTGATAATTATAATTAATTTCTTACCATTATCTTCCTTCTTTTTTAACTCTTTCATCTTTTTTAAAAATCTGAAATAATTACAAAACATTAAATCAATTTAATATAAGAATTAGATGCTTTCCAAACACTTGAAAAGCTCTGTTTAAGTGAACAGCCTCAGCCATTTTTAATCTAACAGCAACTGAACTTTCTATTAAAAATCATTTAATTAATTAAACTTTTAAAAAATTAATTAATTTTTAGATACTTTATTTATAATATATGAAAATAAACATACCAATTTAACAGTTTTAAAAACTTAATAATAAAATAAATTGCATTAATGGTTTCTACTTCACTTCAATTCCGCCTAGTACCTGCTGCTTTTCGTTTAAATCTAATTTAATATTTAAATTTTTTAAATGCTTAATTTATTCAAAATTTTACAGACATTTTGCCTTAAAATACTAAAGTTTAAATTTTATTGGTATTGAAATTTTGAATTTGATATTTATTTCAAAAATATTAAGTGACAAGTGATTCTAATAGCAAGCAGCTAGTAAACAAATTAAGCAGACCAATAATATAATCCGTTTCATACGAAACGGACTACGCCATTGGTTTGCTGTTTAGCAGCTTATCACTTAGAAGCAGCCAATATTTTTTAAATTGTAAAATTTATAATAAATTAATACGTGTATATTACATTACACTTCATTGTGAGAAATAATCAAATAACTTTTATATTGATATTTTCAATTAAAATATAATAAATAAAATTGTGTGTGGCACCATCTGTTAAGAGATTTTGTTATAAAAACTTTCTTTATTTTTAATTATTATCGAATTGAAAAAAAAAAAAAACTTAATTTTGAGGGTAGTGATCGGTTTCGTAAAAAATTGTATCAATAGATGCTAATAACGGGTAACATCATTAATTCCTACCATACTCGAGATATGACACATGACTCCTTCTATCTCCCCATCCCGTTGACCTTTCACTACCTTTGGACGGCCGAATGGTCAAGGTGGCAGCCTACCGTACTGGTGCTGTGTTGGGTATTACTTGATTAATATTAGTCTCTGAATTGAAATGTGTATTAGTCGAATAATTTTTAAATCACGACTAATAATGAATGACTAGACTGATGAATAATAGCTTCTCGGCAAACGGCAAACCCAAAGCCGTGATTTACTTTATTGGGTTGCAATTTTCATATTGCCAGAACTATACGTTCCCATTTTGTCCGTTCACTACATGTCTGTCTGTCTATTCATCTGTCTGCCTGTCGTATATTTTGTTCTTAAATTTCTATATATGAATGTGCGTTACAGTTATTAGTTTGTTTAGGTAAGTTTTCTTTGTTTATTTTATTCTGCTTTTCGAAATTCTTTTGTGCCGCTACAAAATGCAGATCGTTTTTCTCTATAAAGTGAATTAAATTTTGCATAAGTAACGATACCTATAAATATTTATTTCTTTTAACTAAAATCCATTTTTTAAAAAATAATTAATAAAGATTTACGTTGAATAGTACGGATCCAGACACCGTAACAGAATATGCTAGCACATAAATCTTTATTTTAAATACTTCAGTTGTGACAGGTTTTGACCAATAGGGGCGAGCGAGTTAACGGCGCTTTTGCTTTATTCTTCTTGTATTAAAAAAACTTTGCAGATTGGATGCATTTTTAGAGATGAACCGGCAACGCGACAACGTGCGAACAAGTTGCCAAGTATGGAGATTTGGAAACGATTTTTTATGCAATTTTAAATTTATTCAAGTTATATTCGAATTTTCCCTTCTAAAAACAGGGCCTGAGTCAGACCAAGGCGAATTACATAATTACAATTGTCTGGAGCCCGTAAAGCGACTTGTAAAGTTAATTTTTTCGTATTTGAATTTTAAATAGGGAATATTCCCTAAACCGATGAGCTTTCAGGCTTTCATTTATTATCGACCCCTGTAGAATACGGAATAAATTTACTCAGTAAACCTCATAGATTGTAAAGAAAATAAATTTTAAACCCCTATATTCATAGAAATTGAATTTAATATAATAAAAATAAACTTAAGAATATATTTCGTAGATAATTTACTGATTCATAAAATGTTTAAAGGTGTAGAACTTATTAATCAAGTAAACAAAAACGCTGTAAATATATATTTTATATGAGAGTTTCTTCATTTAACAAATTATAAATTATTTAAAATGTTTTTTTTTTTTATTCGTCTATATTATTTAACTGTCATTCATTAACAGATGTCTGAGTGAAGAGTAAATTTCAGGCTGAATTAATCGCTTGTTATCTATACATTGGATAATTTGAAAGGTAGTAGGTAAATATATTCTTATCTTAGAAAAGTAATAACAATGCACATTTTGAGTTTTCAGAATAGGAAGAGTGATATTAGAAGAAACATGAAAATCATTTTAATTCTGTTATTAATTAAATTTTTTGTAAAGAATTGTATAAATGATCGCTCAGTTATTTACTGCGATTGGTATGATATGGATGAATTTGAAAATCATATAAAATCAGTTGACAGATGGAAAGTTGAAACTTTTACTTTGGAGAACTGTCATTTTCCAGCCCTTCCAGAGTATATTTTTGAAGATATCAAGGTGAACAGAATAGAATTTTCTGACGTGATTTTGCCATTTCTCGGTCCTCCTTTG